GCTAGACATGGTGCTACGCAACAACACCATACCCGAGCATATAAGTTTTTCGTTGAAGGATTCCTCCACGATATTTGGATTAACGAAAGTGAACTTTCCATTAAAGCAAGGTGTTATCATTCCCAAAAACGAAATGAAAAACCCCATAGCCTTTATTTTGTTTTTAAATCTGGAAATGAAGAGCAACTGTGTCTACAAGAGTGTCACTGTTCATGTGAAGTTGGGTAAGTCTAATATTTGATATAATAATACTAGCATAGTTTAACAAAGATACTAGTTAATATTTAATTTTTATTTAATGTAATAATACTAGTTATAGGATTTGTTGTTTTGAATCTTATACTTAATATTTTTTTTTATTTTAGGTTATCACAGTCTTGTCACCATTTAATAAGCTTAGCATATTATTTGCAAGATAAGCTATTAAGAGAAGAAGATGAAGTTTTAGATGTTGCCAGCACATCGAAACCAATGGAGTGGAACAAACCTAGGGGTACAAAAATTCTGCCTCAAAGTATTGTCAATGCAGTTTTTCATAAACCTACAAAGATAAATCGAAAGAAAAGGCCAATAATGTCAACTTTTTTAACCCCTGATTCTTTATTAAAAGAAAATGAGTTAAATAAAATAAAAATGGAAACAATGAAGAAAGGATTAAGAAAAATTAATAAAAAAATTCCATTTTCTTACCTTATAAATGATAGAAACCAAGGTAATTTACATTTGCACCTTATTTAATATTTTAGAAAATCCTTTTATGTTAATAAATATATAATTATTATTCTTTATTTTTTAGATGAAAGTATGACAACAATGGCAATGCAGAATTTTAATACTTTGCAACAAAACCATCAGGTAGAAGTACTGCCCATATCGTTGCCTGTTTTGGACATGGAATGCATAAATATTTTAATTTCTATGCCAATGCCAAGGGAGGATACATTTTTTAATGTTGATTTTGAAGATGCCGAAAATATTGAAATTTTAACTAGGCAACAAAGTGACTCTAAGGAATGGAAAGAATACAGAAAAGGGAGGCTAACTGCCTCAAATTTTGGGTCTTTATGCAAAAGAAATAAGCCATTTGAGTTTAGTTATTTTAATAGCATTTGGGAAGCTCAAGACTTGGGACATGTTAAAGCAGTTCAGCATGGAAAAAATCATGAAACAAATGCAAGAATATTATATGAACAGCAAACTAAAAACGTTGTCTGTCTTTGTGGTTTGATTGTTCATCCTTATGCTCCATATTTGGGTGCCAGTCCAGATGGAATAATAAAAAGAGGAAATGAATATGGGATTTTGGAAATAAAATGTCCATTTAGTAAAAAAAATAAAAATTTAAAAGAAGCTTTAAAATCAAAAACTTTTTTTTTGAAAGAAGATGAGAATAAGAGACTATTTTTAAAAGAAAACCATAATTATTATTATCAAGTTCAGGGACAAATGTTAATTACAGGAATAAAGTGGTGCGATCTGGCTGTTTATTTTAAAGAAGAAAACGAGATTGTAATTGTAAAAGTTGAATTTGATCAAAATTTTTGTTATAAAATGTTCGAAAAATTAACCAATATTTATAATATATATCTAAGCTTTTACTACGTTTTTTATTGATATAATTTAATTTTCAGGTAATTTTTTTATTTTTATAGACAATTTTACCTTACATTTTGTAAAATTAAATCTTACCTAAATTAAACTTGTTTGAGGTAGGTATAAAATTAAGCAAAGTTAAGTAAAAAATAAAGGTAATGCTTAGACCAAAAAATGGGAAGGATATATGAGGTATAATCTCCATTTATAACTAAATTTTCTACCTGTAGGTATTTGATTTTGTTTATTTTTAACTATAAAATTATACTAAATTTTAAGTCAAAATATTTCTTTACAACATAGAAATTATAGTTATAGTTAAAGAGGTTCAAGTTTTGGAGGTTTGAGTGCATATTTATATTTTTATTAAAATACCTAACCATTGACTTTTTTTAAAATAAATTATTAAAAATTAAAGCTGGGTTGTTTTAGTAAATTTATAAATTTCAACAAAAAACTTTATTTTTTTAACTCGTGCATAAAATTTGTAAGCAAAGCACAAACTGTAAAAATTTGGTTAACACTCCCCATAAGTGCAATGGGTATTTTGTGGGATAAAATTTTAAAAGTTTTTATCCTTCTTATAGCCCGTTCTACATGGATCCTCTCTCTTGCTATGTGTCGTATATATTCAATTTGGTTGGGTTCATACTGTATTCCTGATATTCGGAATGTTGGTATATTTAAGCATATTCCAGCATCTTCTAAAATATTTTTAATCTCAAACCCCTTATCTGCCAAAATAATATCACCTCTTTCCAATTCTCCAATTTCTACTTTTTTTTTTAAAAGATTAAGAAACCCACTTTCTTCAACAATTTTTTTATCTGATATAGATCCTAAAAAAACTCCAAATAATATATGAATTTTAAATTAATAATTTAGGTATGTTACCAGTAAAAAGTGCTGAAATAAAAATTATAGCACCACTGGGGCTTATCATTATGAGGGCTTTTAAAGTAGTGGATCCTTTATACTGGGAGTAGCATTGTGACTGCTTTATTAAGGATGATGGAGTTTCTATAAAAAACTCAGTGCAGTCTATACTGCCTATAACTTTGGGATATTTATTTTTAAAAACCATAGAGGCATGCTCCAAAATTATGTCTCTATGGGGAAATATATTTAACCCAGCCAGTTTAATATATAATAAATTTATCCACGCAAGGCAGATTCTCCCCACTGTGGATTTGGATACTTGAAACATATCACTTAATAATTCATAATCTATTCCTCGTCTCAATTTTATTAATGTAAGAAAAACTCATTCATTGAAGAAAGCTTACGTTTTTGATTCCATTTTCCTTTTTTTCTTCTCTGAACTTGTTTCGTGAATATAAATTTATATAATATAACTACTATTTTGTAGCTTGGAAGCCCTGTATAATACAAAATCTTTCTGTCATTATTTTTAAAATTTTCAATCAAAAATCTTGAATTTAGACCATTTTTAGGTAGCCACAACTTTTTTCTTATAATAAATGCTGGTGTCTTAGCACTTTCTTCTAAATTTGGTACAATACTTTCATCTTCTACTATATTTTCATTCTGAGGTAAATTTAAAGTGGGAATTGTCGTTGGCTTTAATTTCACTTTAGTTGAGAAATCAAACAAATCATTTTCTTCAAAATGTAACCAGCATACCTAAAAATAGTAAATAAGTATATTATAATTGTTATCTGGTATTATATAGTATATTATTAAGCTATTAAGTTAAATAATTACCTTGGTGCTATCCGTAATTTTTTCTGGGCTTATTTTTAATGATTCTATCCATAATTTCCTTAGCTGAACATTTTTAGGGATTGAAAAAAACTTTCCACTTTTAATATTAACCAAGAAATTTCGGCAGGAATGTATACAACAACGCATTTTTCAAAATTAGTAATAAAATAAATAAAAACTTAACCTAACTTTTTGGATTTTATACAAGGGTTTTTATTCATTCATTCATCATGTTGGTAAAACTGAATTGTGACTGAATTAAGGGGAAATATTGAAAAAAAGGGATTGCCGCGCTTTTTCGCGCATGAGCTCTCTGAAAAATCTATTATATGGGATAGGTGTATTACGAAATTCGAAACTTTTAGCCTTATTGAAAAAGTTTCTTTGGTGGCACGATGCGGCAACGCCGCATCTATTTTTAATTACTCGCGTTTCGATTGTTTTGCAAACAATATTATACGTTATCGCCAACTGGCAGTCTGCTGATTAAAGGTTTTTGTGTTTCATATCTTTGGCGAAAAAGTGAAGCCAAATTCCAAATATTACTTATACCACACATTATCGCTTTTTATCTAGTTTTTAACATTCAAAGGTGATTAACGACTTTGAAATTTAATTTTATGAATTTAGTTTAAAAAACACGTTTTATAATTAGGTATCAAGAAACCATGTAAAAACATTAAAAAATCATTAAATAAGTCAAAAACATGTTTATAACCTTTATATAACTTTTTACCATTCAATTTATTACCTTTTTGGCGTTGTTATTATAAAGTCTTATACAACGTTATATGACGTTAGAGTTCTAATAGAAGCCCTTTATCATACATTTTGAATATTAGAGCTTCACGGGAGATAGGTGTATAAGTTTTTAAATAGCAAATTAATGTACTTAAACTTTTAAATTATAAAACAGCAACACTCTCATCTGCATATAAATTCTAACTGACCTTCAGGAATCATCTATAATGTCGTAAACAGAGGTTTTTGCTTATTTATAATGATTAAAGCGCCATCCGTTGCAAAATATTTCAAGCAAAAACAGATTCACGGAGGATAGAATCAATTTTTGTAACACCTACATAAATGGTTATGAAAATTATTTCTTTTAATTTTTAATAATATTTTATATTTGATTCGATTGCTTTGGATGTTTTTAATTTGCTTAGTAAACTGATATTTTTGGTATGCTTTTACTACCTCAGATATTTGAAAACATATAGGTTAACCTTGAAAGAGTAACAGTAACGGAGGATATGTTTTAGGCTTTTAAAACATTGTAAAAAATAATTAATTGCGGTTAAAAATCTGGAACCTGAGCTGAATATATCTAATTAATTATGAAAGATCAAAACACAATAAAAGTGTAGGTCAAACTCATTTGGTTTTATTAAATATCACGGGGTAACACCATCGGGGCACATTTCGTGAGATTCACCCGTATATTTAATTTATTTCGTCGCGAGTACCAAAGCTTGATTAACTAACCACTCGACGCTCCGCTGTGCCTTACATATCCAGTGCGTACGTGACCCACCTCACGCAAGCACCTTCCCGAACATTATGGCGAGCTTTGCACCGCTCTCGATCGCTCGAGCGTCTACTCCAGAGTGGTACTTGCTAGAATACTATTTCACCATGGTAGTGGAGCGTGTCTGACCGTCTGTTGTCGTTTTCCGCAGGTATGGCCGCGTGCAGAGCGTCAAATTGTTGCCGAGGGTTACCGAGGAGAAAACGGGCGAGGTCTCGATGGCGTGCACGGTGGCGTTCATGGACATCAAAAGTGCGTCCAAGGCGCACATGTCCGAGCTCAAGATCGACGACAGGACCTTGAACACCGAGTACTACGAGCCGGCCGCCATTCCGTCCGCTGCCACGCCGCAGACCGCCGCCAACCTGTCGCCCTACGCCACCTCGCCCGCCACCAACCGATTTCCAAACGGCCATGGGTAAGAAACAAGTTTTTACTACTTTATTATCCCCACCCCTTTCCCAAGAACAACACTTCTCTGATACAAGAACATTTTTATTACCCAGGAACAACACTCTTTTTGCTTTAGAAAAACAGATTTTATCACCCAGGAACAACTCTCTTTTTTGGCAAAAAATAAATCCTAGGAACAACGCTCTTTTTGCTTTAGAAAAACAGATTTTATCACCCAGGAACAACTCTCTTTTTTGGCAAAAATAAATCCTAGGAACAACCCCAAGTCGTTAATGTCAAGGTCTTAGTAGAGTGGTCCCAACGCTGAACCTTGTGGTACACTCTAGTCCTAGAGACGATTTTACGTTATGCCCAATTTTTAAAAGTATAGTATAAAGATTCTATTAAAGACCTAAAAATGTAAACTTGATGTATTTAACTCTTTTTATAAGACTATCAATTTAAGCCGGGTATAACTATTTTAAGAGTGTCAACTTAAGCTAGATATAACTGTTTTAAGAATGTGAATTTAAGATAAATATAAATGTTTTTAAGAATATCAACTTAAGCCAGATTTAACTGTCTTAAGAATGTCAATTTTTACCTTGCTATAACTGTCTTAAAAATGTCAGTTTAAGTTAGCTATAACTGTCTTAAGAGTGCCAATTTAAGATAGATATTACTGTTTTAAAAATATCAATTTAGGCTAGCCATAACTGTCTTAAAATTGTCAATTTAAGCTAGCTATAACTTTCTTAATAATGTCAATTTAAGCTAGCTATAACTGTCTTAATAATGTCAATTTAAGCTTGCTATAACTGAAGAATGTCAACATGCTAGCTATAACTGTCTTAAGAGTGTCGATTTAAGATAGATATAACTGTTTTAAAAATATCAATTTAAACTAGCTATAACTGTCTTAGAAGTGCCAAGTTAAGATAGATATAACTGTCTTCATAATGTTAATCTGAGCCAGGAATAACTGTTTTAAGAATTTCAGTTTAAACTCACAGTTAGCTCACTGTCTCAGGAATGTCAACAATCTAGCTATAACTGGGTTAATATTGTCAATTTTAACTAGTTATAACTGTCTTAAGAATGTCAATTAACTGTCTTAAAAATGTTAAGCTAGCTATAACCGCCTTGAGAAGAAATGTAAGCTAGTTATAATGCCAACTTAAGCTGGCTATAACTGTTTTAAGATTGTCAATTTTAACTAGATATAACTGTCCTAAGAATGTTACTTTAAACTAGCTATAAAGATTGTCAATTTTAACTAGATATCTGTCTTAAAAATGTTAATTAAACCTAGCTATAACTGCCTTAAGAAGAAATTTAAGCTGGTTATAATGCCAACTTTAGCTGGCTATAACTGTTTTAAGATTGTCAATTTTAACTAGATATAACTGTCTTAAAAATGTTAATTTAAGCTACAGTATAAGAAATTTAAGCTAGTTATAATGCCAACTTAAGCTGGCTAAACTGTTTTAAGGTTGTCAATTTTAACAGGTATAACTGTCTTAAGAATGTTACTTTAAGCAAGTGTTTCAAGAATGTCAACTTAAGCTAGATGTGACGGTTTTCTAACAATGTCTTGTGGAACATTCAATTACAGCGCTCCTAACGCGGAACCTTGTGGTACACCGGTGGCGTTTTGTAAGATGCAGATTTTGAAAGATAAAAATGATGTTTTTTGCAGTGTTGCGTTATTTATTGATGAAAACAAAAGCATCTTACATACATTAAATAATAATAATAAACAGGATGTTACTCATATGTTTGGTTGCCATATCAATTTGTTGTTTTTGCATAGTGTTTGTGGTGTAGTACAAAGTAAATGCAGGATGCAACCGGGTAATAATAAAAATTCGGTTTTTTATGATCGCGATACCGTGACGGTACATTGTTGTCAAGTTTGCCGAAACCTTATTTAATAATGTAGAAACGTCAGCTGTATTGTGTATAATGTTTTTGTTTTTTAGAATACTTGGCACTGCAAAAGTTGTAATTACATACCTTGGTGGTTATTCGTAACAGTTGACATAAGTTTGTTATTAAATTCTAACGAAAACAACTTATATAAAGTTTTTGCAACTTAATTATTTTCATGTTGATTTTACAAGAATCAAGATACGTGTAAAATAACTGTATACAAGCACCGTTATAAAGCAAATAAAGAAGGTAAATTACAGTACAATAAATATTAAAATGATATCTCTTAAATACTAAACGCCCCTGTTTCAATATTTTATTTAATACAATGTGGGCGGAATTAAGCATTCAAAACTGGAATATTTATTCAATAAATCCAATATGACGCATACCTATGAAATCGTAACCGTAACAGAGGTGTAGAGAGTGACAACCTACGTACACTTTGAAATATTAATTACGCGTTGCAAACCTCGCAAAACGCGTTTCTTTTTTCACTCAACTCCTTTGTGTTACCTCTTATTGACACCCGCCTACTTTTGTCTCATGCATCTGCATAATCACGGGGTGCTTTGTTCTCGGTTTTAATCAGAGCGAGCTGTGCAACGACGACGGTTAATTGGCTGGAACCGTGAGAAAAAAGGGGCACGAGTTTTTGGAAATATTTTTATTTTGTCCAAGTTAAATTGCACTATTCACATATCCCAGCGCTTTCAGAAACGTGTACGTTGGGGGTGTGTCGTTTTTGAGGTGTGGTCGCAACGTGAACGCGTCAAAATTGCAGAAAAATCTAATTACTTAAACTAAATAAACAGTTTAACAATGGATGTTCGTGTCTATCCTTAAATGGGTTTCTCTTCGTCTAAAAGGGCTTGTACCGTCACGAATTGTTTTATTTGTTTGTTGGTATTGCTCGATCACGTCAGGTTTTTAAACAAAAACCTTTTTTGCCTCGGCCACCATATGTTGTTTTTATTGGCTATACAACTTCAAGGCCACGGCTCGGAGTGTCAGACAATACATTCTTATTTGACTAAAAAATTTGTTATTCAAATAAAAATGTTATCACCCCGGGACAGTTAGGCAATACCAGAAAATAAATAGAAAAGAAAAAAGAAAAACCTTGTTAATTTCACATAAATTGTGCAATACCTTTGTTGCATAACTCCACACACACCTGTTAATTAAATTCACATCTATATTCTTTATTTTAAACATTCTATGCAACAGACAGCCTTTCGTGGTTGTTATGGTAACCATTACGTTGGCATGCCAACTGTGTTTGTTACCATAGTTACGACCCATTTCTTAAAAACATGACTGTTGCCAACTTCAGCCCGTAATAAAGTCGAAATGGTTGAATACCCTTCAACCATACACTTTTTTGCGATCTCTCAAAGTAAACAACGCATCAAAAGGGATGCCCCATCGAGTGCATATCATCTACCTGCTCCTGTAACGTTTTTAGGACGGTTAATACATTGTATTCACCCCGCTTTACCTTTTATTGTGTACCATGGTGTCTGATTTTGGGACCCAGATTATTTTTAGCAGACAACGGAATGTCTGGAGGGAATGTAGCAACCGATTCAAATGCATTTTTTGTATCAATTAAACGGCAACTGTCTATTTTAAGTAATTGTTTAATTTAACGGTATTTTAAAACAATGTCATCTGGGTACAGTTATATGTATTGATAAACGATTGCTAGCTTTATCTAAATAATTTTTAACATTAGTTACCTACTTTATGGGTTGTAAAACAGGAGTATTTAGAATTACGTGACCTTGATATGGACCTGCTTCGATGAACGTACTATATCCGCGACGTTGCCAGGTTTATACAATTATTTTAGAAAAACGTCATTGTTTCGTATAATTATTGAAAAAGGTCGTTGAAGGTTAAATTGTTTTTATCTTTGATCGTATTTTTATAAGCAATGATAAAATACCAGAAGTGGTTAAACGATAAAAAATAAACTTATTTGCATTTTACAATGAAATTAACTATAAATTTGTTTATTAATTGGAAATAAGGTATGGTGGTAAATTTAAATAAAATTAAATTAACATAACATACTAATAACATCTTTATTTTTCCACTTCAATTCGGCAGTAGTTTCAAAAACTCGGCAACGCTGTGTTAATAAACATCTAACTTGAAGTTAACATGGTTGACGGATGTTTTTTTTATTAGTTCCTGTCAGAAAAATACAGTTCATTTTTTTTATTTTGACTCGTGTTTTTTTATTAAGTTGGTAGCTTATGCCAGTTTGACTTAGTATTTAAAAATGGTACTTCTGCTAAAGAATTTAATTAAATACTCTGTCACTGCCAAATTGACAGTAATATTTATTATTGATAATTTACCTGTTAATTATTATATAATATCGATATAAAAAGATAACTATCCCAAAATTATTATCAGATTCTAAATTAAAAGAACTTTTATGGGCAAAACTTCATTTCGATGAAGTTATGCCAAATGCCTCAATGGCAGAAAAAGTACATCGCCTTATGGACATTTTTGGAGTAAAAAAAGTAACGTTTTTGGTTTTACAAATATCAAATTACACATTATTTTCAAAAAATTTTGAAATTTAAAACAATAAGGGTGAAATAAAAAAATAGAAAATAAAAAATATTTGCTGTTAGGTTCAACCTTTTTGTGAAAAATTCATGAAAATAATAATAATCACAAAACTTTTTCTTCTTTAAATTTGTTTATAGTTATTGCAACGTTGCCAAATTTACATTTTTGCAACGTTGACAAAATTTCGGAATTTTTGAAATAAATTTAAATAAAAAGAAGGATATTAAGAAGAACTAATACGATATATAAATATTTTTAGGGAACAAAAAATGCTATTTTTCAATAACAAAATAATTATTTCTTAAAGTGTTGTCAAATTTTATTTCTTGCAATTTTGTTTTTTTTTTTTAAATAACATAATATATTTTTTCTACTCCCACCTTTAAAACGCCCTTTATCGTACATGTTTCCATGACACTAAGTGACCTTTTAAATACACATTGACAAGTTGTGGCTTTACGGCGCTTTAGTCACGGGCTGAAGTTAGCAACAGGTTTTTAGTCACGGGCTGAAGTTAGTTTTAAGTTAGTTGACAGTTGTCAAATGTCATACAATCGTTAAAATAAAGTGCCTTTCTTGTAAAATAATACTAAATGTGAAAATTATTTTATTATCTCAATACAAAAATATTAAATAGTTTCTCAACGCCAATATTTGAAAAGTTTATATGAACATTGTACTGACCTTTTAATTTCGCCGACAGTAAACTATAACTTAAATTCGGGCACGGAGTCTACTGTAAAGTCCTCATAAAACATTTTCTTTACTTTCACTGTAAAAAACTGTCAAATTTCAAGATACATTTCGATTTATAACCCTTATAATTGTGTTTATAAAATGTAAAATGTGACATTTGACAGATTCCCCTGTAGTTTCATAGATGGCGCTCTATACAAATTTTTGATTTGAATCATTTTAAGATAATAATAAGTATTTGTCGTAGAAAAAGTATAGTATGCACCTCGTTTATAAACTTTTCTATACACTCATTAAATTAAATTCGTGTATAAAATGGCGTTTGGCAAACTGGGTAGGCTCCATGATTTATAGGTTAAGTGAAGTAGTCCAACGCAATGTTGCCAAATTTTCATTTATTACAGTGTTGTCAAATTTTCATGTTTTGCAGTGTTGCCAAATTTAGCTTTTTTGCAACGTTGCCAAATTTATTTATTTTTGCAACGTTGCCAAATTTATTTATTTTTGCAATGTTGCCAAATTTATGTTTTTGTAAAAATAAAATTTTTTTGTAACTTTAGGTCGACAGACGAGCACGGACCGCCGTTCACGGAGCGATTCTACGAGCGCGGCGCGTCGCGCGTCCCCTCGGACGGCGGCGTGCCTAGCGTCGGCGTCGGCTCTGTCGGCGGCGTCGGCGCCGTTCCCGCCGCCGGCGCGGGCGGGCCGACGATCGGCGCCAACGGACCTGTCGGCGGCGGCGGCGGCGGCGATTTTCTGCGGCGCGCCGCCTACGCGGAGGCGGCGCGCGGGCGCATCAGGGACCGGCCCTTTCGGAACGGGCCCTACAATCCGCTGATGGACCGCCATCGGCCGATTAGCAGCGCGTGGGGCGGCTCGACGGGCGGCGGCGCGGTCTACCCGCCCGAAACGAATTCGAACAGGTAAGAGAGATTCCTTTTTTTGTAAGAAAACGTCTAAAAGTAGGTACTATGCTCCACACCTCAAAGTCCCACCACGTGACCACGTACGGAACGCAGAAAATTTGGCATTTAAGGCTTTTCAGGTTATGTACCTGTCAAAGTATAGTCAATGAAAGAAATAATATTTATAGTGTTACCGCTTATGTTTAAGCGTTAAAAGTTAATAAATCTTTATAGTATCACAATAACAATGGTTGGTTTAAGAATTTAGGAATATAAATACTGCATTTAATGAAATTCCAAAGTGTAAGGTGCAATATAAGTGATATTTTTGTGCATTTGGTCTACATTTCTCCATAAAATAGTTTTAACAAAACAGCATTTATTAAAAAAAATCTAACTTCTCTATTATGAAATAAGAATATCTGCATCAAAGGTAGGTTAATGTATTAGAACAAAAAATATCATCTAATTTTGTATTTTAAGGTTAGAAACATCTATTTTGACCAAAATAAATAAGTGGATTATTTGGAAGAGTGTGTTAATATGGTCATAAATAAATATAGGTATACTAAATAATTGTTGAATATGGTTCAAATTAAATTGAAGCTTTTATACTTCTAACGACAAAACTTGTGCATACCTCTCGGCATACTTACTTTAAGTTAGATTATAAAAAAACAAACAATTTTTAGAGAAACTTGCAATGTGAAAATATTTAATACTTCCATGACATGTGATTTATTAAAATTTTTAAAGTTATAATGATTTTTCGATGTAGATCAAGTTCAGTCGAAGCTTTTTAACTATTTGTATTGACAAAACTTTATGTAGGAACACTTTAAGCTGGATAAGAAAAACTACCACATTTTTAAATACCATATTATACAGTCTTTTAAATAATCCAAAATACTTATTTATTTTGGTCAAAATAAATTTTTTTAACCTTAAAATTACAAAATTAGATGATATTTTTGTTATAATATATTAACCTACCTTTAAAACAGATATTCTTGTTTCATAATAGAGAAGCTAGATTTTTTTTAATAAAAGCTGTTTAGTTAAAATTATTGTATGGAGAAAACCAGATATTTGGACCAAATGCACAAAAATATTACTTATTTGGCACCATACACTTTAGAATTTCATTAAATGCAGTATTTATATTCTTAAATTCTTAAACCATCCATTGTTAACAAAACAATAACAATAACATGTTATTGTAATGTTATAAAGATTTATACATTTTTAACGCCTAAACATAATATTATTTCTTTCGTTGACTATACTTTGACAGATACATAACCTGGAAAGCCTTGAACGCCAAATTTTCAAAAGACTGCGTTCCGTACGTGGTCACGCGGTGGGACTTCGCGGTGTGGAGCATAGTACGTCTGACAATCAATTTTACTTGGAAAACCAAAACGTTAAACTTTTTTCTCGTCTCCAATTTCAGTAGTAGGTATGTAGGAGTAGGTGGAGGAGTTGGAGCGGGTTCGGGGCCGGCACCCGTCGGCTGCCAGCAGACTGAAACGACAGGGTACGCGACGCCGGTAACTGAAGGCGTCGAAAGGCGAAATTCCGACGCGCAGTCCAAAAAGTCCAAGACGAAGTCCAGGAGCGGCTCGAGAACGCCCAGCCCGTCGGCCAGCACGACCAGCAGATCTCCATCCAGGTGAGTCACCCTTTTCAAAAATTAGATGAAATTATCTAACATAAATAATTGGGTAAAAAATAACAAAACTACAGACTTCCAGACTCCTTAATTTTAGTCTATTCAAATCCAAGCTGGACTAAACAAAAACGCCCAGACGCGTGATAACTCGTTTCTATTGGTCGATTCTGATGGTGTGACTCGGATTGTGAGCTCTTATTGGTCGATTCGGAGGATTGTGTTTATATTTAGTCCAGCTTGGATTTGAATCGACTTTAGAACTAAAATTTACACGGCTTTATATTTTGAAGATTATCTCGAAAAATAAGTACTGGAGCATATTAAGATTTTTACATTTTTTCAAAGTGGATAAAATTATCTTACATTTGATATAATAAACAATAAAATTTGGTAAAAAATAACAAAACTACAGACTTTCAAAGTTGCTCTTAATTTTAAAACGTTTACAAACTGTTATTTTAAGGAACCAATATTTATTCAAAAGTTGTACACCTTCGACCATTATATCTCACCTAAACATTGCAACAATGTTTGAACTATTTAATTTAAATAATTTATATCCCTAACATACAAAACAATGTAAATTATACACTCACAGGCAAAATAATCGATCCACACAAATTTTCGATGAATTTTAACCGCAAATAACTTTTTTATTTGATTTCGGATTTAAACAAATATTAAAGAATATTGTAGATACATTAATGGAGAATCGCTCATATTTTAAAAATTACTAAAAAATACACGTACGTTTACAATATACAGGTTTAAATAAAAAGATGTTTTTTACCATAAGTTTAAGACACTCTGTAGAGTGGCAAAACCGTATATTGTTCTAAATTAAGTTTTAATTATCATGTCACATCTATTTTTAACAGTTTTGTTTTTGGTTCACCTTGATATATTTATTTTTGTGGAAAATATGGATTTTTTTTTAAAAAAACATTGCAATTTCCAATATTTTTCCTGTATGAAGAACTAAGGTTGCTATGGTCCATCCATAGCCTATGGAGGATGACAGTGACAGTTTTGTTGAATCATCCCATACTTGGACATGTCATATACATCTTTCAAAAGCTATCAAATTGTTTTTTGTAAATTAATGAGTTAATTTTGAGGTGTCTTCTTACTTTTAAAAATGTCTCCGACTAATGTTGCCCTTTGTACTTTAATTCTTGTGACGTTTAAAACACTTGCCACGTAATACTGTGACCGTCCATCCTAGATTAAATTAATGGCTCTGGCAACATCAGTCGGAAACATATCCATTTTTTAAGTAAGAAAACACCTCAAAATTTAAACATTAATTTGCAAAAAACAATTTGATAGCTTTTGAAAGCCGTGTATGACATGTTCAAGTATGGGATGATTCAACAAAACTGTCACTGTCATTCTCCATAGCCTATGGATGGACCATAGCAACCTTAGTTCTTCATACAGAAAAATATTGGAAATTGCAATGTTTTTTTTAAAAATCCATATATTCCAAAAAAATAAATATATCTAGGTAAACCAAAAACAAAACTGTTAAGAATAGATGTGACTTGATAAATAAAACTTAATTTAGAACAATATACGGTTTTGCCACTCTACAGAGTGTCTTAAACTTATGGTAAAAAACATCTTTTTGTTTAAACCTGTATATTATAAACGTACGTATATTTTTTAGTATTTTTTTAAAATGTGAGCGATTGTCCATTAATTTATATACAATATTCTTTAATATTTGTTTAAATCCGACATCAAATAAACAAGTTATTTGCGATTGAAATTAATCGAAAATTTGAGTGGATCGATTATTTTGCCTGTGAGTGTATAAAATTTGTATGGTGCAAACAACGCATGAATTCTAATAGAAAAATTGCGTTCATGCGCAAAAATAGATCTTACGAAAAAGACTTGTCGTTGTTTAAGCGATTTTATTCACCTTGAACATAATAACAACAACAAACAATTTTTAAGATAAATAAATGTATAAAACAACTAATAAAGACAGCTTACTAAACAATGATATTTGTTTGTTTTTTTTGTTAAACAAGTCATTCATTAGTTTCTGGTTGTAAATGCTTAACTTGTTGGCGCCCAACCAACACATATTTTGTCTATTCTATTTTATGATAATAATATATAATATAATTGAAACATATATATTTAACAAATGACACCTTTCTGTTTTAACTGTTTTAATTAAATTAACCTTGCATTTAAATTTAATTAGAAAAAAACGAGAAGCCGTAAGCAATTCGACAAATGTACGTTTTCTAGGCCTACTATGCATAATATGTGTAAAATATGGCGGCAAATAAATAATACACTCGTGATAAGTCAAAGTCACAGCAGGCGGTGGGTACAAATTCGTGTCGAAAATTGAAACAAAAAAACTGTATATTTACAGTAATTGTACCGGGCGATTGTTTTACCGGTACTCGCCTCTGCGGGCTCAACTAAAAAAAAATAATCGATTGGCGTTTGACCTGGGACGTATGCTGGCCTATAATTTACAGAATTAATATTATTGGAATTAAGTTAATGTTATTCAAATCTTAACGTTTTTCTTCTTCATATTTTACGTTGTAGAATCACCTCTTAAATTTGTTTCACACTTGAAAGCCGCCTTGAAGCTCAAAAAAGCTTCAAAGCTCAAACAAGCTGAGTAGCTTGAATAAAGTTTAAAATTTTTCGACTTAAAACAGCTTGAAAACTCAATACAACTCATAAAAGACCATAAAAATATCATTGGCTCAAAAAAATTTTAAGCTCCATATAGCTTTAAAAAAAATTCAAAATTTTCAAATTAAAAAATTGTGAAGGTCTAAAACAGCTTAAAATCTCTAAAAGCCGAAAATTCAAATTTTAAGTTCAAAAACAGCTTGCAAGCTTGAAATTCTAAAAAAGCTGAATAGCTTAAATAAATTTCAAAATATTAAAAAAAATTGAAAATTTACAATTTTCAAGCTTAAAAATAGCTTAAAAGGTAACAGTCTAATCTAATTTTTTAAAATTGCAAGCTCTAAAACAGCTTTAAAAAAGCTTACAATCCTTAAAATGAAGCTCAAAAGCCTTAAAACTCTAATAAAAAAACTAAATATGTAAAAAAATTCAAAACATCAGATTTTAAAAAATTACAAAATTTTATAACATACTTTTATACGTATCTCAAAAAATTAAAAAAAAGCTTAATAGCTTAAAAAGCCGAATAGCTTGAAAAAATCTAAATCCTGATAAAAAGCGTAATAGCTTTAAAAAATCAAAACATCCTCAATTTAAAAAAAGAAGCTTAAAAAAGCTCAAGTGCTTACAAAATCTTAATAGCTTAGATAAATTTCAAAATATCAAATTTTTTAAAAATTACAAAATGTTCAAAATTTATGCTCTAAAACAGCTTAAAAGCTTAAAATTCTAAAAAATCTGAATGGCTTTAATAAATTTCAAAATATCAAAAATTACACAATTTTTTAAATTTTAAGCATTTAAACAGGTAAAAATAGAAATTTAATGGTTTAAAAAATCAAAATTACAAATTTTTCTAAATTTCAATCTTAAAAAGCTCAAAAAAAGTTTAAAAGCTCAAAACTTAAAAAAGCTATAAATATTCTTAAAAAAAACTAAATTTTTTAAAATTGTGAATTCAAAAAAACCTCAAAAGCGCGTAAAATCCTAAAAAAAGTCGATAAGCTTAATTTTTTTTTTAAATATTCAAAATTTCAAGTTTAATAAGGTGAATAAGAAAAGCCGAGTAACTTAAAAAAAAATAAAATTTTCGAAAGTGTGAAAGCGCAAAATCTTCAAAAACCATCTTAAAAAAGCTGAATAGCTTAAAAATCGAGGGGTCAACCACCCAAAGGGAAAACGTCCAGGGATTTCCATGTATTCCTATGGTATTCCCCCTCTAAAATGTCCAGGGATTCCCAGGTGTGGGTGACCCCTCGTTAAAAATTCAAATTTTAAATTTTTAGCTTAAAAACAGCTTGTTATGGCCTAGGCCGATAAAAATTTTTATGAGGCAAGTAATTAGTTCGATTTTTTCTCGCTAGGGGTATTGTTTTGACAAATTAACCCTTTTCTAATAAATTAACGTACTAAACTGGTTTAATTTATTTATACTCGTAATAATAAGCACTAATTTGTTTGTTTTACTGTTAATGTTTAGTATTTTTCATTAAATTATTATAAAATTAAATATGAATAATAAAACATAAAGTGAGGTTAGGCAACCAAGAAAACGCACGATTCTTTTTCTACGATTTAAATTATCTTTAAGTTTTAATTTGCTTTAAGTTTTCAGTGAAATTAAATGTTAAACACAGCTTAAACATTCCAAACTACCTATTTTTTAAATAAAAATCCAAACAAATCGAAATTAGATACCTTCCTATTTATTAAACAATTAATTGAATTCAATGTAATAGCAAAAATCCATTTGTACTTAAATCATGTTGCTAGGTATTGTCAAACTATTACTGCTTCTAAAAGCAATAATTATTGTACATTTAATGTAAAGTGACCATCCGTCCCGATTTAGGTGGGACAGTCCCGATTCTGAGCTAAGGGTCCCGATATAATAAGCGTCCCGCTTTTGTCCCGCTTTCAATAAATTCAGACTATTAACTTTTACTCTAATTGTTTAGAATATTTAAGCCAGTACAGTAGTAAAAAAGCTCTGACATGGGAACAAGTACAAAAAAGTTTTGAGTTTCTTTTAAAAAAATTCCCTAAATGCACCATAGTTGACAATGATTTATTTGATGAGACTCAATATGTCCATAATTATGTTGAAATATAAAATTTGGACCACCGAAAAAACTAATTTGTCTGTAGAAACTTTAAAAGCTTTAGTGACTATTAAATATAATTTTAAAGGAGACTGTACGAGTTAAAAAATAAGCCCCTATTAAATAAAATCATCAAAATGAAAAATATAAATAAAAATGTTATCTATAACTATACCTATAGGTATTAAAAATTTAAAATCAGAATACTGATTGTTGTTTTTACTTGTAGTTTAAACTTTGTTTTTTTTTGTATTTTGTATAACTACTTAATATTTTTTATTTATCACTACCCTAATTCTAAATTGAAAATGAAAACAAGATTTTAGACAATTTTGTAACTTTGTCCCGCTTTTGGACTTTTAGGATCTGGTCACTTTAATTTAATGTAATCTTTAGCTAATAAATAAATGAGATTCTAAAAAAGTGAGGTTAGGTCGCTTTGATGTTGAATTAAATTGAAGATAAAATGTTGTATGCCATTCGGCCAAGAAGTAAGCCTTTTTGTGCTTCGCTCAATTGAGCTTAGCATAAAAAGCCTTACTTCTTAACCTAATGACATAAATAACTATTTATTCTTCAAAAAAGACTAAAAACCGTATGTTAAGAGCGTTTTTTCTTTGCTTTAGGTCGAGGTCGCGGAGCAGCAGCAGCTCCTCGTCTTCAACGACGAGTCGCGCGACGTCGACGTCGACGTCGTCGCCCAAGTCGCGCCGGCTCACCGCGAACGCGAACCACAACCAGTCGGTGGTGCATTCGGACGACAAGAGGCCGCTCGCGATATGCGTGAAAAATCTGCCGCTGAGATCGTCGGACACTTCGTTGAAAGACGGCCTGTTTCACGAGTACAAAAAGCACGGAAAAGTGACGTGGGTGAAGGTCGTGGGCCAGAATGCCGACCGGCACGCCATCGTTTGTTTTAAGAAGCCCGAAGATGTCGACAAGGCGATCGAGGTAAGTTTGTCTTATTATTTTTATTACTTTTTTTCAATCGGTTTTTTATTTGTCTAGAAAATGGCTAAAATGTTAAATTATTACATTTTTAAAATCAATCAAATTGTGACTAATTTGTTAAAATATTGACAAGGAATGGTTTTATATTTTTAAAGGTGGCCAAAATGTCAAAATAAATCGATTAAATATTTTAATAAAACCGTTCGTTTAACTGTGGCTAATTTGTCAAAATATTGACCAAGAAGTGTTTTACATTTTTTTAAGACACCTAAAATGTCAAAATCTTAAGAAAATTAAATTGATGAAATATTAAAAAAAAGCATAACTATTTGTGGCTTATTTGTCAAAATATTGACCAAGAAGTGTTTAACATTTTAAGGTAGCTAAAATGTAAAAATATAACGAAACAATCTTAAGAAAAATAAATAGAACAAATATTAAAAAAGCGTTCGGTGAACTGTGGCTAATTTGTTAAAATATTGACCAAGAAGTGTTTTACATTTTTTTAAGGCAGCTAAAATGTCAAAATACAAGAAAATTAAACTGATGAAATATTTAAAAAAGCGTTCAACCATCTGTGGCTTATTTGTCAAAATATTGACCAAGAAATGTTTTATATTTTTTTAAGACAGCTAAAATGTCAAAATACATGTAAAAAATCTTAAGAAATTTAAATTGATGAAATATTAACAAAAAAAGCATAACTATCTGTGGCTAATTTGTCAAAATATTGACCAAGAAGTGTTTAACATTTTTAAGGTGGCTAAAATGTAAAAATATAACGAAATAATCTTAAGAAAAATAAATTGAACAAATATTAAAAAAGCGTCCGGTGAACTGTGGCTAATTTGTTAAAATATTGGCCAAGAAGTGTTTTACATTTTTTAAGGCAGCTAAAATGTCAAAATACAAGAAAATTAAACTGATAAAATATTTAAAAAAGCGTTCAACCATCTGTGGCTAATTTGTCAAAATATTGACCAAGAAATGTTTAACATTTTTTTAGGTAGCTAAAATGTAAAAATACAACGAAACAATCTTAAGAAAAATAAATCGAACAAATATATTAATATATATTAAAAAAGCGTTCGGTGAACTGTGGCTAATTTGTTAAAATATTGACCAAGAATGGTTAGTTAAACTTTTTACGTTATTTTAGCTAAAATGTCAAAAATCTAAGAAAAATAAATCGATCAAATATTTAAAAAAAAGCGTTCGATTAATTGTGGCTAATCTGTCAAAATATTGACATTTTAAAAGATAGGTAAAATCTCAAAATATAACAAAAAAATCTGAAAAAAATTCGACTGAATAAATATTTATAAAGCGTGGCTAATTTGTTAAAATATTGATCATAAAAGGATTTAACATTTTTAAAGGTAAAAATATTACGAAAAAAATTTAAGAAAAATAAATAGGTCATATATTGAATAAACGTTTGGTTAACTGTGGCTAATTTTTTCAAAATATTGACCAAGTATGGTTTTAATTTTTTTAAGGTAGTTAATGTGTTAAAAGTATTTCAGATATAAATCGCTCAAATATTTAAAAAAAAGCGTTCGATTAACTGTGGCTAATTTGTCAAAATATTGACCAATGGTTTTACATTTTAAAAGATGGCTAAAATGTCAAAATATAACCAAAAATCTGAAGAAAATTACATTGATTATATATTTAAAAAAGCGTTCAACCATCTGTGGCTAATTTGTCTAAATATTGACCATAAAAGGATATAACATTTTTAAATGTAGATTAAAAGGTTAAAATATTACGAATAAAACTATGATATAAAAATCGATTAAATATTATAAAAAAGCGTGACCAAGTATGGTTTTAATTTTTTTAAGGTAGTTAATGTGTTAAAAGTATTACAGATATAAATCGCTCAAATATTTAAAAAAAAAAGCGTTCGATTAACTGTGGCTAATTAGTCAAAATATTGACGAATGGTTTTTCATTTTAAAAGATAGCTAAAATCTCAAAATATAACAAAAAAATCTGAAGAAAATTAGATTGATCAAATATTTAAAAAAGCGTTCAACCATCTGTGGCTAATTTGTCAAAATATTGACCAAGTATGGTTTTAAATTTTTTAAGCTAGCTAATATGTTAAAAGTATTACAAAAAAACGTAATACAAATAAATCGATCAAATATTAAAAAAAGCGTTTGGTTAACTGTGGCTAATTTGTCCAAAATTTACCCAATGATTTTAAGATAGGTAAAATGTCAAAATATAACAAAAAAATCTGAAGAAAATTACATTGATTATATAAATAAAAAAGCGTTTGGTTAACTGTGGCTAATTTGTCAAAATATTAACCAATGGTTTTACATTTTAAAAGATATCTTAAATCTAAAAAAAAAGTCTGAAGAAAATTAGATTGATCCAATATTTAAAAAAGCGTTCAACCATCTGTGGCTAATTTGTCAAAATATTGACCATACAGGGTTATAACATTTTTAAAAATATCTAAAATGTTAAAATATTACGAAAAAACCAGGAAAAATAAATCGATCAAATATAAAAAAACGTTTGGTTAATTGTGGCTAATTTGTTAAAATATTGAACAAGAATGGTTTTACATTTTTTTAAAGGCATAACTGTGGCTAAGATCATTCAAATATTTAAAAATACGTTCGCTTAGCTGTGGCTAATTTGTCAAAATATTGAGAATGGTGGATAAATGGGTAAAATTAAAAGTTTTTCACTCAGGTCAGCTACGATAAGCTGTTTTTCGGGCACAAGATCGAGGTGGCGCCCTACCAGGGCTACGACGTCGTAGACAACGACCAGCGGCCGTACGAGGCGGAACTGGACGAGTACCACCCGAAAGCCACGCGCACCCTGTTCATCGGCAACCTGGAGAAGGACATGACCGCCTCGGACCTGCGAAAGGTGTTCGATCAGTTCGGCGAGATCATCGAGATCGACATCAAGAAGCAGGGCACGCACACCTCGTACGCCTTCTGCCAGTACTCGGACATCTTCAGCGTGGTGAAGGCCATCAGGAAGATGGACGGGGAGCACGTCGGCCAGAACCGCGCCAAGCTGGGCTTCGGCAAGTCCATGCCGACGAACTGCGTGTGGGTGGACGGCATCGCCGACAACGTCAACGAAAAGTACCTGAAGATGCAGTTCGAGCAGTTCGGAGTCATCAGCAAAGTAAGACAAAAAAATACCGTTCGCTTTCACATTATCAACGTTTCTTTTTTCCGTCAACTTTAGGTGCACGTGGACCGTGATAAGGGCCAAGCGCTGGTCTTCTACGAGCAGGTGGTGAGCGCGCAGACGGCGGTAAACAAGATGAGGGGCTTCAACCTGAAGAACCAACGCATCCAGGTGGACTTCGCCAGTCGCGAGTGCCAGGAGTCCTTTTTCGAGCACCTGGAAAAGCAGGGCGCCGTTCTGGAACGCACTGCAGTCTTTCAGGAGGAAGTGCGAAGGGACTCGACGTCCAGGAGCTTCGACTCAACCACCAATAGGTACTCCAGGTAAGTCCTGAACTTACTTTATATAATTATTCACCTCACATCCTTCATCCATTATTTATACAAAGGTTTTACCAAAAAGCGCAATTTGTAGTATAGAGATCCTGGTCACGGCACCAATTGGAAAAAATATTAAAACTACTGTAGAAGATTTTCATTCAAACACATCTTTATTGGTAAACCTTTTTCTTTTCATAAACTTTCTCATTATTAATAAGTATAGTTGTTTTTTATAAATACCTTGTTTAGTTTTCTGGCAATATATAAAACTTGAAAATATTTATATAGCTAGATTGTTGACATTCTTAAGATAATTATATCTAGCTCAATTTGACATTCTTAAAACGATTTTATGACAGTTATAGCTATCTTGTTGACATTCTTAAGACAGGTATATTTAGCTTAAATTAACATTTTTAAGATTGTTTTAATATGATAATCATATTATATAATATATAAAATATATAATATATAAAATATATTATATATAATTATTATGGCTATCTTGTTGACATTCTTAATTAAGACAGTTTTAAAACAGTTATAGTCAGATTGTTGCCATTCTTAAGGGAGTTTTAAGACAGTTATAGCTAGCTTGTTGACATTTTCTCAGCTTCAATTAATATTTTTAAGACAGTTATAGCTATCTTCTTGACATTCTTTAGACAGTTATATTTAGCGCAATTTGACATTCTTAAAACAGTTTTATGACAGTTATAGCTATCTAGTTGAAATTATTAAGACAGTTTCAGCTATCTTGTTAACATTCTCAAGACAGGTATATTTAGCTTAAATTAACATTTTTAAGATAATTATAGCTATCTTGTTGACATTCTTAACAGTTTCAGCTATCTTGTTGACATTCTCAAGACAGGTATATTTAGCTTAAATTAACATTTTTTATACAGTTTTAAGATAATTATTGCTATCTTTTTGACGTTCTTAAGGCAGAATTAAGACAGTTATAAGCTTGTTGACATTCTTAAGAGAGTTTTAGGACAGTTATAGCTAGCTTGTTGATATTTTTAGCTTTAATTAATATTTTAAGACAGTTTTATGACAGTTATAGCTATCTAGTTGAAATTCTTGAGACAGTTATAGCTATCTTGTGGACATTCTTAAGACAGGTATATTAAGCTTAAATTAACATTTTTAAGACAGTTTTAAGATAATTATAGATTTCTTGTTGGCGTTTTAAGACAGTTTTAAGACAGTTATAGTTAGCTTGTTGCCATTCTTAAGAGATTTTTACGACAGTTATATGTAGCTTGTTGGCATTTTTAGCTTTAATTAATATTTTTAAGACAGTTTTAAGACAATTATAGCCGTCTTGTTGACATTCTTAAACGTTTTAAGACAGTTATAGCTATCTTGTTAACATTTTTAAAACAGTTATGTCTAGCGCATTTCACATTCTTAAAACAGTTTTATGACAGTTATCTAGTTGAAATTCTTAAGACAGTTTGATAACGGTTATCGAAAAAGAACCAAGCGCCAAAAACTTTTTCTGGGCTTAGTAAAATTATTTGTAAAATAACTCATTTTTAATAATGCTCAAAAGGCCGATTGATCATCATTTGGAACTTTTGTCAAAAAGATTGAGAAGGTTCCTAAATCATTATTAATTTTTTGAAATAATTTTGTTTATCCCAGAAAAAAAATTTGGCATTGTTGACATTCAATCATTCAAACACATCTCTATTGGTAAACATTTTTCTTTTCATAAACCATGAAACATTTTCTTAAATAAGTTCTTGGTAATAAGCTGAGGTCAACTTTCTCATTATAAATAAGTATTTTCTTCATAAATAACTTGTTTTGTTTTGTGCAAGGCTAAATATAAAAACTTAGAAATATTTTTGCGTAAATAAAACGTCCGTTTAATTAATTTTTTATGCATCTGCTTTAAAAATCAATGCCAGACGATTGTAATGCAATACATCTTGCTTATTTTTTTGCGTTTGTCGGTTTAAAAATAGACTGTCTACATACACATTATTATCATTATTATTATTATCAATCAAGAAAATATCCAATTCGTGATTAACTTGTTTGATTGTTTTTTATTGCCTAACGATGAATATGTTCATATCTTTGTTTATTATATCGTTTCAAAACGTTTAATGAAGCATTTTAGATTTTAATGTCTACCTGGCCTTCATTATTATGTTATGTTTTCATTATTCACATTCCACTACTTTATGTGTTGCAAAAAATGATTTAAATATTGGTTAATTGGCATTCGTAAGACAGTTTTATTTAGATATATTTCTAAGATAGTTATGGCTAGCTTGTTGACATTCTTAAGACAGTTATATCTAGCATAACTTGGCATTCTTAAAACAGTTTTAAGACAGTTATAGCTATCTTGGTAAAATTCTTAAGACAGTTATAGTTAGCTTGTTGACATTCTTAAGAGTGTTTTAAGACAGTTATAGTTAGCTTGTTGATATTTTTAAGATAGGTGTATTTAGCTTAAATTAACATTCCTAAGACCGTAATATTTAGACAACCTTAAAACAGTTATATCTGAATGAAATTGACCTTATTAAGGCTTAAGTTGATTATTATGTCTATAGATTCATATATGTGTGTGTATATTTGTAAATAACAATTATAGCTATCTTGTTAACATTTTCAAGACAGTTATAGTCAGCTTTTTGACATTCTTAAGAGAGTTTTAAGACAGTTATAGCTAGCTTGTTGAAATTTTTCAGACAGTTATATTTAGCTTCAAGAGTTTTAAGACAGTTATAGCAAGCTTGTTAACATTCTTAATACAGTTTTAAGACAGTTATAGCTAGCTTGTTAACATTTATAAGACAGGTATATTTAGCATAAATTAACATTTTTAAGACAGTTTTAGACAGTTATAGCTATATTGTTGACATTTTAAAGACAGTTATATCTGAGTGAAATTGACATTATTAATGCAGTTATATTTATCTTAAGTTGATTTTTCGAGTTATCAAAGTTCGACTGTATACAGGGTGTTTCATAATATATGCGCAGGACTTCAGGATGTGATAGCTCATCCAAAAAGATGAAAAAAGTCGCTATTTTAGAAAAAAAATCGTTTTTTTCGATTATCTCTGGAACCGTTTGTCGTACAAAAAACAGCTTTTGTAAGCATTTTCTACTCATAATAAGCTATGTTTTGTGCCAGAAAAAACTCATAATTGGTGGAGATTTTGAAGGGGTAGCGGGTGTTTTTCTCCTCAACTTCAACGCCCCTGAAAAAAGTACGGTTGTGAGAGGCCCATTCGAACCGCCAATGTTTTCTACACAAAAAGGTACTTTTGGTCATAAGCTCTAAAGTTGACCGTTTTCGAGAAAAATCAACTTTTATATTTAAAAACATGTTCAATTTTTTGAAAAAAAATTTTTATTACTAATTAAACAAAATTTATTTTAACGTTAGAAAAAGTAACAAAACCAAACGATAATTGCAAAATTAAAAAAAAAATAAAAAATGATTTTTTACACAAATGCTGAAATGTTCGAGATGCGTTACCTTTACGGTTTGGAGAATTTAGGAAAGACAACTTTTGAATCATTTTTTATTTTGCAATTATGGTTTGGTTTTGTTACTTGTTCTAACGTTAAAATAAATTTTGTTTAATTAGTAAAAAAAATTATTTTTTTTTTTTAAATTAACCATGTTTTTAAACATAAAAGTTGATTTTTCTCTAAAACGGTCAACTTTAGAGCTTATGACCAAGAGTACCTTTTTTGTGTAGAAAACATTGGCGCTTCGAATAGGCCTCTCAAAACCGTACATTTTTCAGGGGCGTAGAAGTTGAGGAGAAAAACACCCGCTACCCCTTCAAAATCTCCACCAATTATGAGTAAAAAAAAATTTAGCTTATTTTGAGTAGAAAATGCTTACAAAAGCTGTTTTTTGTACGATAAACGGTTCCGGAGATATTCGAAAAAAACGATTTTTTTTCTAAAATTTCAACACCCTGTATCTCGAAAATTGTGCATTTTAGAGGGTAAGTTAATAGCGACTTTTTTCATCTTTTTGGATGAGCTATCACATCCTGAAGTCCTGCGCATATATTATGAAACACCCTGTATATGTGTAGGTATGTGTATATTTGGAAATGACAATTTTAAGACAGTAATATTTAGTTTAAATTGACAGTCTTAAGACAGTTATATCAAACTTAACTGGCAGGCTAGCTTAAATTGACATTCGTATCAGTTATATTTAGCTTGCATTAATATTTTTAAGACAGTTATAGCTATCTTGTTGACATTCTTAAGAGAGTTATAGCTAGCTTGTTGACATTCTTAAGACAGTTATGTCTAGCATAACAGTTTTAAGACAGTTATAGCTATCTTGTTAAAACAGCTATAGTTAGCTTGTTGAAATATTAAGTCAGTTTTAGCTATATTGTTGACATTCTTAAATTAACATTCTTAAGACAGTTATATAGCTATCTTGTTGACATTTCTAAGACAGTTATAACTAGGATAACTTGGCATTCCTAAAATAGTTTTAAGACAGATAGCTATCTTGTTGAAATTTTTAAGACAGTTTCAGGATAGTTAGCTTGTAGACATTCTTAAGCCTGTTTTAGCTATCTTGTTGACATTGACATTCTTAAGAGAATTATAGCTTGTTTACATTCTTTAAAAAAATTATATGTAGCTAGTTAAGCTTGACATTCTTAAAACAGTTTTAAAACAGTTATAGCTATCTTGTTGAAATTTTTAAGACAGTTTCAGGATAGTTAGCTTGTAGACATTCTTAAGCCTGTTTTGGCTATCTTGTTGACATTGACATTCTTAAGAGAATTATAGCTTGTTTATATAGCACAAAGAAGTACTGGAAACGTCCTGAGTATATCTTGTATCAGACATTAGTAAGTCCCGAGTACGTCCGAATCAGGTCCTGAACCTTCCGCAGGACGTACCAGGGACATCTGATGTTACCAAATCGTCGGTCCCCAGAACGTCCTAAGTAAGACATCCTCTAGCCGTCCTGAAATACTTTATTGGGGACTCCCAGCAAACAGGAAAGCGTGATAAACACGTGACATTTTACGTCCATTTTAGACGTCTTTAAGGTACAAAATTGACATGTCTTGGTTCTCAAAAATAATAATAATAATTAAATGTTAAATTTTATTAAAAGCTTTTGCTAAAAGTAAGTAGTGGGGCCCACTCACAGAACATAAGGGCCCACTGCTTACTATTCGCAGAGTGGGCCACAGGACCAGCTGTGTCTCTTCAAAACTTACAAGCAGAAGCGGTATGCATGACCATGGTCAGTAATTTGGCCAGAAGGTAAGAAATTCTTACTTAGAAGCTTAAGGCATTCCACCTTTATATGACTATCTATCGTGCTACAGAGGCGAGAGGTATGCATGGGTTGCCTACATATAGTTAGGTACGGAACGCAGTCTTTTGAAAATTTGGCATTTAAGGCTTTTTAGGTTATGTATGTGTCAAAGTATAGTCAATGAAAGAAATAATATTTATAGTGCTACCGCTTATGTTTAAGCGTTAAAAGTTAATATATCTTTATAGTATCACAATAACAATAGTTGGTTTAAGAATATAGGAATATAAATACTGCATTTAATGAAATTCTAAAGTGTATGGTGCCAAATAAGTGATATTTTTGTGCATTGGGTCTACATTTCTCCATAAAATAGTTTTAACTACAACACATTTATTTAAAAAAAATCTAACTTCTCTATTAGGAAATAAGAATATCTGTATCAAAGGTAGATTAAAGTATTAGAACAAAAAATATCATCTGATTATCTATTTTAAGGTTAGAAAAATCTATTTTGACCAAAATAAATAAGTGGATTATTTGGAAGAGTGTGTTAATATGGTCATTAATAAATATAGGTATACTATATAATTGTAGAATATGGTTCAAATTAAATTGAAGCTTTTATACAGTATAAATTATACTTCTAATGACAAAACTTGTTCATACCTCTCGGTATACCTACCTAAGTAAAATTATAAGAAAACAAACAATTTTTAGAGAAACTTGCAATGTGAAAATATGTAATACTCCCATGACATGTGATTTATTAAAATTTTTAAAGTTATGATTTTTCGATGTAGATCAAATTCAGTCGAAGCTTTATAACTATTTGTATTGACAAAACTTTATGTATGTACCTACACTTTAAGCTGGATTAGAAAAACTACCACATTTTTAAATACCATATTATACAGTCTTTCAAATAATCCAAAATACTTATTTATTTTGGTAAAAATAAATTTTTCTAACCTTAAAATTACAAAATTAGATGATATTTTTGTTATAAAATAATAACCTACCTTTAATACAGATATACTTATTCCATAATAGAGAAGCTAGATTTTTTTTCAATAATGCTGTTTATTTAAAATTATTTTATGGAGAAAACCCGATATTTGGAACAAATGCACAAAAATATTACCTATTTGGCACCATAGGTACACTTTAGAATTTCATTAAATGCAGTATTTCTATTCCTAAATTCTTATACCAACCATGGTATTGTAATGTCATTGAGTAAAGGTAATGTTATATAGATTTATACATTTTTAACGCCTAAACATAATATTATTTCTTTCGTTGACTATACTTTGACAGATACATAACCTGAAAAGCCTTAAATGCCAAAAACAAAAATTACGTCCTTGGGACGTACCGAGTATATCCGCTTTAATTTTCCTAAATAAGTAAGAGACTGGACGTACCCAAAACTTCCGATATAGGTCTGGGACGTTCGGACCAATGTGGGACCCGAAATGGACGTCCTGGGTACCTCTTGTGCTATCTGGGTACATTCTTAAAAAAAAAAATATATGTAGCTAGTTGAGCTTGACATTCTTAAAACAGTTTTAAAACAGTTATAGCTACCTTGTTAAATTTCTTAAGACAGTTTTAGCTAATTTGTTGACATTCTTAATATAGTTTTATCAAACTTAACTGGCAGGCTAGCTTAAATTGACATTCGTATCAGTTATATTTAGCTTGCATTAATATTTTTAAGACAGTTATAGCTATCTTGTTGACATTCTTAAGAGAGTTATAGCTAGCTTGTTGACATTCTTAAGACAGTTATGTCTAGCATAACTTGGCATTTTTAAAACAGTTTTAAGACAGTTATATCTTGTTAAAACAGCTATAGTTAGCTTGTTGAAATATTAAAACAGTTTTAGCTATATTGTTGACATTCTTAAATTAACATTTTTAAGACAGTTATATAGCTATCTTGTTGACATTCTTAAGACAGTTATAACTAGGATAACTTGGCATTCCTAAAATAGTTTTAAGACAGATAGCTATCTTGTTGAAATTTTTAAGACAGTTTCAGGATAGTTAGCTTGTAGACATTCTTAAGCCTGTTTTAGCTATCTTGTTGACATTGACATTCTTAAGAGAATTATAGCTTGTTTATATTCTTTAAAAAAATTATATGTAGCTAGTTAAGCTTGACATTCTTAAAACAGTTTTAAAACAGTTATAGCTATCTTGTTAAATTTCTTAAGACAGTTTTAGCTAATTTGTTGACATTCTTAATATAGTTTTATCAAACTTAACTGGCAGCCTTTAAAAAGTTGTAGATTTCTCAAAGTTGTAGTAATGATTCCGAGCCTAAATTTTGAAATAGAAGTTTGGTTATGGTTTCATTCGTTCGGACAATTTTTGTTTTACCTGCAGGATTTTTCTTATTTCAAGTAGCAAAACACGTGGGTATTTTCTAAAAAGTTTTTTTTCTGCTGTTGCTCAGGTACGACACGCCGACTCGTCCGCGAGCCTCTTCGTACAGCAGCCGTTCGAGCGCCACAGCTAGTCAGATAACGTCGGCGCTGCCGTCGCCCGGCACGCCGGGCAGCGTGACGCCCCGCGGCGCCGGCGGCAACCGGGCGCGCATCGCCCGCTTCGACTACTACGACGCGGCCGGCGCGGACTACGCGGACGCGCGCGCCCCCTTCCGCTCGTACGACGAGTACAGCCAGGGCTCGCCGGCCTCGCACGACGACTACGATCCCGAGTACTACATCCACAGTCCGCCGCCGCACGCCGCCGACCCGCTGCTGCCGCCGGCGGACCTAGGCCCCACCTTTCACCAGCCCGACATCAGGAATCTGCAGAAGGAAAGGGTACGTTCAAGTTTCCACATTATAGTAGTCTAAGTGATGTTACGTTGGACTGTCGTCATCTTGGTTTTCTTGATTTTCACACGTTTCGATTGGTTGTCTCCAATAGTCTTCAACCAATCGAAATGTTGTGAAAACCAAGAAAACTAAGATGACGACAGTCCAATGTAACATCACTACAACCAATTCATCTACCAACACCAAATCACTATTCTAGTCTTGTGGTTATTGTCAATGTTATAGGTATCTTGTTGAAATTTTTAAGACAGTTATATCTATCTTATTGACATTATTAACTTTCTTAAGATATTTTTAAGACAATTTTAGCTATCTTGTTGATGTTCTTAAGACAGTTATAGCTATCTTGTTAACATTTTTAAAAGAGTTTTAGCTATCTTGTTAATATTCTTAAGACTGGTATATTTAGCTTAAATTAACATTGTCAAGAGAGTTTTAAGGCAGTTATAGCTATCTTGTTGACTGGTATATTTAGCTTAAATTTACATTGTTGACATTCTTGATACAGATTTAAGATGGATATAGCTATCTTGTTAAAATTCTTAAGACAGTTTTAGCTATCTTGTTAACATTCTTAAGACAGTTACAGCTACCTTGTTGAAATTCTTAAGACAGGTAAATTTTGCTTAAATTAACATTTTTGAGACAGTTTTAGATATCTTGTTGACATTCTTAAAACAGTTATAAGGCAGTTATAGCTATCTTCTTGACATTCTTAAGAGAGTTGTAGCTAGCTTGTTGACTGGTACATTTAGCTTAAATTAATATTGTTGACATTCTTAAGTTAATTTTAGCTATCTTGTTGACATTTTTAAGACAGGTACATATATTTAGCTTAAATTAACATTCTTGAGACAGTTTTAGCTATTTCGCTGACATTCTTAAGAGAGTCATATCTAGCCCAATTTGACATTCTTAAGTTTTATGACAGTTATAGCCGCCTTGTTGACATTCTTATGACAGTTATATCTAGCGCAATTTGACATTTTTAAAACAGTTTTATACCCATCCAGTTAAAATTCTTAAGACAGTAATAGCTACCTTGTTGACATTCTTAACAGTTTTAGCTGTTTTGTTGACATTCTTAAAATAGTTGTAGCTAGCTTGTTGACATTTTTAAGATAGTTATAGTTATATCTATCTTGTTAACATTCTTAAGACAGTTATAGCTATCTTGTTGACATTCTTAAGAGAGTTGTAGCTATCTTGTTGACATTTTATGTGGTTATCGTTGATGTTGTGTGTGGGGGTGGGGTGAAGCGTGTTTTTCGCAACTAATTCTTCATTGCGTTAGGTGCATCTTTTGGAACAGCTGGAAGAGTGTCCGAGCAGCGGCGACGAACTGATCAGTCCGAAGAAGCGGCTGCGCTTGGACCTCGACGGCGCGATCGGCGAGGTGATCATCGAGGCGAACAAGGATCACCGCAAGGTGATGGAGGTGCGGCGTCTCAGCGACGCGACCTCGAACAAGCACCACGGCGCGTCGCGGCGCCCCTCCGTCGACTCGGGCAAGCACGTCACCGCCTCCTATCTACCTCACGCGGTCTGCAAGCGCAGGAAGACCGCCGGCAGCGACAGCTCGTCGCGCGTGCACCACTACGACCACTCCGGCTCGGAGAGCGTGGGCGGCTCGCGGCCCGGCACGCCGCTGTGCGACGAGCGCCCCGAGAACTTCCAGCCGTCCGAGCCGCGCAGGGTGCCGCGCGAGCGCGAGGGCCCCCTCACGCTCCCCCTGCCGCGATTCGCCGCCCAGATCATGAACCGGGGGAGGGTCTCCGTGGCGGGGATCAAGGGCCAAGACACAATCCTATCTCTGTCGAGCCCGCCGAGGATATCGAACCCTCGGCCTCCGAGCCCGGTGCAGTTCGTGCCGCCGCCGGCCAGCCCGCCCCCGCGGCCGCCGTCGCTCTCCTCCAACGACAGCGACGACGGCGGCGCCAGCCCGAGCTTGGAGGAGCGCATCAAGGACCTGGACGTGCGGTACGAGCAGTGGTCGGGGTCGCGCGTGATACACTCGGTGCGCAACGCCGCCGAGGCGCCGCCGCCGGTCGAGAAGAAGTTCCGGATCAAGAGCGCCGTGCTGGACGGCGACATGAACGCGGTGCCGCCGTCGGACATCGTCAAGTCGGTGCTGGCCAAGCGGTCCGTCTTCGACGAGGACCTCAAAAGGCTGGAGAACGTCGGCGAGAAGTACGAGCCGAAGGATTTCGGCACGATCCCCAGGGCGGCGGCGGCGGCGGCGGCGGCGCCTGCGCCCCAGCCTGCTCCCGCGCCTCTTGTCGTTCCTGCGAGCGTTACGTTACTATCGTCGGTACCTGTGCTGCAACTTATTGTGCCGCCACCCGCGCCACTCAAGTTGACGCCAACACCTCAGGCCGCCATGCTGTCACCCAGATCTTCAGGTGAGTTTTTAACTACTATTTTTTGACGATATTTAATTAATTAATTACCATTTTAACAATTATTGTTGTTATGGTTTAAGTACTATTTTGATAATTTCAACTTTAAACGTTTTAAGTACTATTTTTACAATATTAATATTCTTATAAATTGTTTTTTAACAATTTTGAGTAACTGTTAATTAATTTAAGTACTATTTAAACTATTTTTTTTATTAGATTTATCTATTTTAAATTACATTAAAATTGTTTCAATACTACTTTAAAATACTATTTTTATGAGTTTTGATTATTAAGTACTAATTGTTCGTTTGTGTTGCAGCAACGACGATACCGGCAGCTAAGGGACTGCAGTACCCGTTCCCGAGCCACCCGCCGATCCAGACGCCGCCCCAGACGGCCACGCAACCCCCTCTACCACCACCACCACCACCGCCGTCGTCTTCTCTGTGCAGTAGTGTAACGTCGCCGCAGCCGGCACACGGTGAAAACAGACTGAAATCGTGTGAAAGCGCGTCGACGTCGACGACCACCCCCGCCACCACCACCACCGCAACCAGTGCTAACAAAGTGATCCACAGCAGTGCGTCGACGACGACGTCGACGGCCACGTCGACGCCGTCGTCGAAGACTTTATCGGTGAACATTCCGAGCAAGAGTGACGCGAGTGCGGACAATCGCATCGAGAAGGCGCGACTGGAGAGCGAGCGCCTGGAGAAGGAGAAGGCCGAGAAGGAGCGCGTCGAGAGGGAGCGCCTCGAGAAGGAGAAACAGGAGAAGGAACGCCTGGACAAGGAAAAACTGGAGAAGGAGCGCTTGGAGCGCGAGAGCGAGCTCGAGAAGGAGCGCCTGCAGAAGGAGCGCATAGAGAAGGAGCGGTTGCTGGAGCTGGAACGCAAGGAGCGCGAGAAAAGCGAGCGTCTGGAGAAGGAGCGCAAAGAGAAGGCGCGCCGCGAGCAGGAAGACAAAGAGAGGAGGGAGCGCAAGGAAGAGTTGGAAAAAATCGAAAAAGCGAAACGCGAGCAGGAGAGGAGCAAACACAAAGAGGAGCACAGGCACCGCGACAACCACCACAACTTCTACGAGAAACCGGCGAAAGAAAAGTCCGAGAGGGAGGACGAGAGGCGGAAAGAAAGTATAAAAGAAAATCGCGACAACAACATCCACGACAAACACAAGGTGATCGCGGACGTGAAAGTGGAAGTCAAGGAGAAGACGATGATCGAAAGTCGGCACATGTCCATCGACACCGACAAAAAGTCCTTCGAGAACTCTCTATTCGGAAAGGACCCCAGCAAGAGGAAAGAACGCAACAACAGTTTACCGGCAACTCTGGGAAAGCGGAGGATGAGCTCGCACGAGAGCAGCCTCGACGGTCCGGAGGAACACAAGAGGATCAAACTCGATCACAAGAAGGTTTCCGAGCGGAGGGACTCGAAAGACAGCACGCGATCCTCGGAGGACAAGATGAGAAGCAAACACAAAAACAACTCCCTCAAACACGACAAACACAACAATACCAAAGAATCCGACGAGAAGCGCAAGGAGAAGGAGCGCGAAGAGCGGCACAAGAAACACAAGCTGGAGAAGCTCGAGAAGCAGAAAATCAAGAGCAAAAGTCGAGAGAAGGAGTCTCCCACCGCACCCAAAAGTCCAATAACCGATAAAGACTTCTTATTACGTCTGGATCTGCGGTCCAACGAAGAGCAGCGTCCTAAAGAAGAACCGCGGTCGAAAGAAGAACACCGCCCCAAAGAGGAACATCGCCCTAAAGAAGAACACCGCCCTAAAGAAGAACACCGCCTCAAAGAGGAACATCGTCCTAAAGAAGAACAACGTTCGAACGAACAGCGTTCCAAAGAGGAACAGCTGCGGAAAGATTTGAAGGAGAAGCGCAAAGACAGCACGGAGGAGGAGAGGCGCGATAGAAAGGAGAAGCGTAAAGAGGAACCCACGACTCCAAAATCCAGCGGTGAAGAGAGAAGCAAGTGCATCAAAAAAGAGCCGCATCGCATACGGAAGATGACGAACAGTTCCGATAGCGACGACAGCGACGCGCCCAAAAAGCACTCGATTTTCGACGTGGTCGACGATACGCCCGCGTACATCTCCATGTACGACAAAGTGAAGGCGAGGAGCTGCAAGAACATGCAGAAGCAGGAGGAGGAGAAGCGGCAGGAGAAGATCAAGGCCAAGTTCAGTCAGCTGAAGCAGAGTCGGGCGAAACGCGAGGAGAAGAAGAGATCGACCTCGTGGGACGAGGATTCGGACTCGGATCCGGACAAAAGCGAGTTCAAACTGAAAAGATCGTCGAAGATGTGCATCGTGAGTTCCGACGACGACGGTCGCGAGAAATCGCGCAAAACCGACTCGGACTCCGACCGCCACAACAAGCAGAAGTTCGAGCAGATTTCCGACGACGATTTGATGAGGAGCAAGAATCATTACAAGTCGAAATCAAGGATCAGCGACACCTCCGACGACGACTACCACAAAATGAAGGACCGAATCAGCAGCAGCATTTTCTCCGACGACTCCGAGAGCAAAACGTTCCCCAACGAGATCAAAGAGTTGAAGAAAGAACGGCGCAACAGCAAACACCAAGAGGTACCGGAGGTTTTCTCTTTGCCCGACAAAGATAAATTCCCGAAGAGTTTTCCGGAGAACACGTCGGACGAAGAGAACATGGCGGAGATCAAGAAAGAGCGCGCGGATCGCAAGAAGCACAAGAAGAAGCAGAAGAAGCAAAAGCACTCGTTCAGCAGCGAAGACCTCAACCGCGTCGATTGCGTGTCCGACAGCGGTCACCACGACAAGAAGCGGCAACACAGCAAAAAGGATAAAAAGCGGGACAAATCCAAAGACGAGCGCGACAAAATCAAGAAATCCAAGAAGATCAAGTCCGACTCCAAGGAAATCAAGAGCGGCAAAGTCGAGAACTTATTCGGTTCTCTATCCGAAGATTCCGAGAAAGAAGTCAAAGAGAACATCAACGTTGAACCGCCGAAGAACTCGTTCCACGGCAAATTTCCGTTGGAAGACAACAACAGCGATTCGGAGGCGGATGTCAAGCCGCAAGTCAAAACTCACGAAGAGAAGGAGAAAGAGCGGGAAAAAGAACGCGACCGCGAAGAACACAAGCGTCGCAAAGAGAAGAAACGTCGCGAGAAGCAAGAGAGGCGGCTGCAAGAAGCGGCCGCCGCAAACGACAACAGCAGCATGGATTTCGCCGACATGGGTAAGCAACTGGAGGCGAACATGTTGAACGACGAGTGCGCGGAAGAACCCGAAGAAACTCCGAACGCTCCTCCGCCCGCGGTTGTGAAAACCGAGGTGGAGAATGCGGAGAGCAACGAAGACCATCTGAAGGAGGAGAGGCGGAAAAAGAAGCGCAAAAAGAGCAAGGAGGAGAAGCAGAAACATCACCACCACCACCACCACAGCGACAAAAGCAAAATCAAATCCCCCGAGTTCAAGAAGGAACCCGCGGAAGTCAAGAAGGAGGACGAGTTCAAAAAGGAATCCACGCCGACGAAAGAGATTAAAATCGAAATCGACGAAGCCAAAACCCACAGTATGCCCACCATTCTGGACTTTTCGCCGGAGAACAACCGACTGTCTCCGAGCAAGTTGGACTTCAACATATCCCCGATCAACAGGGAGCCGCTGATCAGTCCCATCCCGAAGACGCCCACCTCCTCGAAGGACAAGAAACGCGAGAAACTCATGCTCGGTTTCGGCGAGAATGTGCACGAGTCCGCCGTAAAATCGATCTCGGCGTTCGAGCCGGTTAAACCGGAAACGCCGATCAAAGAGGAGGACATTAAGGTGGAAGAACCCGCCGAAGTGGTCGAAGAAAAACCCAGGGTCGTTATCTCTCAGGAAGAGACCGAAGACGCCGTTGCGGCCCTGCTGGGAGAGAGCTTCGGCAGTGGGGAACAATTCGAGGAAATTTACACCGAAGAAATCGTCAGTAGTAAAGCTGCCGACGATAGTATCGTTCAGGATGACGAAGAGATGAGGAAAGCGGTGCAAAGCCTCAGTGCTTCCGACTTGGACACTAAACCTGATACGCCGCAAAGCGAGCACGATCTTCAAATCGACACCGATACAGAGGAAACCGACGATATATCTTTGAGGTTCGATCAGCAACCCAAAACGCCGGACATGAGCGAGATGTTGGTGCCACCCAAAACACCGGACATCCCGAGCTACTTCCGCACCGATTTAAAAGCCACTGCGTCATCCATTATATTGAAATCTGGCATCGGAAGTCCGCCATCGTTGACTCCCATCGTCAAGCCTTCCTTGGTTGTCGCTGAACCGCTGGAGGTGAAGAAGAAGTTGGAGATGCCGGAAGTGCCGAAGAGCCTCCCGATTCTTCCGGAGCCGCCGAGAAGCATCGTCGCGCCGGCGGAAAAACCTCTGCCGAACAAAATCGAGGCGAAACCGGATGCACCTACCGTTCTCGTATCCCAATCGCAGACCAAGCAAATCGTCGCAGTTACTTCGGCTCCGCTGAGAACGTACTCGGCACCGTCCATGGTCAAAATCGGCGAACCGAATTATCCACCCTTAACGGCTCTATCGAAACCCGAACCGAAACCTCCAAACACTGCGGATCAGAAGAAGATCGTGGTGCCTTTGCTGATGCAGCAGCAAAAACCGCGCGGTTCTCAGGACGCCGCAGGGTTTAAACCTGCGTCCAACCCGCCGCCCAGGTTGCCGATCACTTCGGTGGTCGTTTCGAAACCTCTGCAACCTAGCACCATCGTTCTGCCGACTTCGAAGACGCTGGAACCGCCGAAATTGGTGTCGACGAGCGAACCGAGGCCGCAGGAGATATCCAGGATGGTTTTCCAGACGTCCGCCATCCAGCAAGCGCAATATCCGGGCTACGTGCGGAACATTCCTCCGCATCCGGGTTTACTGGTCAGCAACAGGTACCCAAACAGCTACAACATGCCTCCTAAGGAGAAGTTACCTGAGAAGTCGATACCATTGACGTCGACGAATAGCGCTCTGGTTCCAAGCTACCAAAAACCTTTCACGAACGTCATCAAAGAAACGCCACCTGTCGTAGTGCAGCCCAGCATAATCCAAGCACCGGTACCTGAAGTCATCAAGGAAACGCCCGTAAAAGTAATCGTGGATTCCGCCGTAACATCCACTCCCAGTCCTGTTATAGTATCGCTACCGAAAGCACCGACGCCAATACCTTCGCCACCCAAAGTTTTGTCGCCGAAATCTGAGGAAAAAGCGGAAATCGTCGGCAAAGCTTTGGAGAACATGGAGTCCATCAGCGAGCAGCTGAACTTGTCGCTGCAAAAGGAATCGCAAGAGCAATGCAAAGAAATCAAGGAAGAAGTGAAACCCAAAGAGGAAGAACCGCCCAAACCTGAGGAAGTGCCGGCGAAAGAGGTCGTCGAAGAGAAACCTCAGGAGGTGCCCGAAAAAACCGACGTTTCCGTCATCAAAGAGACCGAAAAGTTCGATGAAGAGAAAGCCGACACCGAAAGCGTTGTATCGGACATCAGCAAGGAGAGATCCAGCGCTGATATGCTGTCCAAAGATGATCCTCTCGACACCAAGGAGGATAGCGACTACTGGTCGGCCAAAGAAGTCAACATTGACTCTGTAATCAAAACTTTGTGCTCCGCCGACGAGTTGTCCGACCACAGCAAAGACGAGTGGGAGGATGAAGCCAAACAGAACGATAAACCTATTGAGGAGGTGGAAAAGAAGGAAGAAGAAGACGATGAACCTCCGGAAAAGAAGGAGGAGGAGGAAGACGAGGGTGTCGAAAACGAGCCGACCACGCGCGCCACCAGAGGGCGCGGAGGCCGTGGCAGAGGGCGCGGTAGAGGGCGCGGTGGTGCCACATCGAAGCGTGGCGGGAAAACCATCAAAGAACCCGCTGCCGTTTCCAAAAGAGGCGGCCGCGGCGGTAAGCCGAAGAACGAACGCAAAATCACCAAATCTGAATCCGAATCTCTACCGACCGACGTGTACGAGTTTACGGACGATATGGACGATGGTAGCGCTAAAGAACAGCGCCCGAGGCTTATTCTTACCATCAAATCTCCCGCCATTGCTGCCGCCGGCGGTGGTAACACGCAGACTGCCGTGGTGAAGGAGGTCACCAAAGATGGGGCTAAAGAGTTGACGAGCGTTAAGGAGGTTGTTGCACCTGCAGCTAAGGAAGAGTTCGCTTCCCCAGTATCAAACACCCGTAAGAGTAGAAGATTGCAGGAGCGCGATGTAACGAGGAATACCGTCGACGATACAATCGAAGACGTTGTCAAGAATACGATTCAAACGCGGCAGAAGAGAGGCAATCGACACGGTTTGGGTAAGCAGCAACTGCCCCAACCACCTGTTGAAAGTGCGCCTAGAAAATCCCCGAGAGGTGGTAGAAGGAACAACAGGCGTGCTTCCGATAACAACGACGATTCCGATGTGGAAAAACCTAAGGAAGTGGCGGAACCAGAACCACCCGTTGCTAAAGTTGAACCGGAAAAACCCAAAGAAGTGGCGAAAGTGGAAGCACCCAAACCTGTAGAACAACCACCGGTGGTGAAGGAGGTACCACACGTGGGTGTTAAAGCCGAAATGCTACGCAGACTGAACCGCGAACAAAACCACGAACCCACAAACCTGATAGACCCGGTAACGGGCTTATTAACGCCGATGAGGGAGTGCGAAGAAGGCAAATACATTCCTCTGCCGGGCAGTCTGGAGTCCAGAAAAATGAATGCGGGCGCCAAGGTGGCGGCACCTCAACACAAAGTGCCGGTGGACGTTAAGCAACCCAGCGTTATAGCAGCTCCGCAGCAAGTCGCCCAAGTGGTTCAAGTTGTGCAACAACCCAAACCGCAGAGCTTCAAGGCGCACGTTCTGGCTTCGCAAGCGGCCAAAGCGATCGTTTCGCAGCAACAAGTGCTACCGCCAAGTTTGGTGGTGACCAAGACCACGGCGCCGGCGCTAAGCCAAGCGCCGATTCCGCTGGTGAATTCCGTTCCGAAGGTGTCTGTCGCTAAAGCGGCGCCTGTTGCGGTGCCGGCGAGATCGCTGCCGCAACAAGCCGTCATCAACAAAATTCCCGTCAGTCAGAATTTGAACGTGAACGTGAGCTTGGCGATGAGCATGTCGCCGGCGAATTTGTCGCCGCGAACGTCGTTGACGGTGACGAAGGTCAAGCAACCGCAGATGTCGCCGAGCCAAATGGTGCCGCAGATGATGCAGATGACGAAGCAGCAGCAGCAGCACCTAGCTAAGGTGATGGCTGTGAATACGCAGATGGCGCACGTCAAGCAGCACCAGTTGCCCAAGCAGCAACATGCCGCTCCGCCGCAACAACAACAGCAACAACAGGTCGTCGGAAGGGCAAAGGGCGGCAAACCCGCGGTGCACTCGATGCACCCGCAAATCATAGCCAACGCGGTGGGAAGCCCTCCGTTGACGAAGCAACAGCAGCAGCGCATCATGCAGGGGCCGCTGGCGGGCGCCAAGGGCGTCATGGAACCGCCCAAGGTGGACGTGAGTCTCGCCAACATGGCGCTGCCCAGAAGCGCGTCCACTTTGTCGCCGCAAGGGAGGCACATCGCCGTCCCGGGCTTCGATACGCCTCTGGTAAGTTTCCTGATTGATTATTAGAATATTTACTAACATATTTTATTGTTTCGGACTCTACTTGATGAAACAAAACACTGTTTTTTTGGATTTCACGAATTTATATAACTATGTCATCTATTTTTGGAAAATCAGGAGTAGCTTTTTTCAAATATGAGAAGTAGATAGCATAGATAAAATGTATGGTTTATTAGAGGGGTTTCACCTTCCCAAAGAGGAAGACCAACATTAAAATAGTAAATAGGATTTTAAAAATCATTTTTGGGGTTCAGTAATAATTTTGTTGTCGATTAATATAAAAAAATTGAAATTACTTCGATTTATTATATTTAATTTATAATTTTCCTTTTTTCAATGTAAAATTATCCAGATAAAACAAACATTTTGCCTATGCCATCTATTTTTGGAAAATCAGAAGTAGCTTTTTCCAAATATATAAAGTAGTTAGCATAGATAAAATGTATTGTCTATTAGAGTGGTTTTACCTTCCCAAAGAGGAAGACCATCATTAAAATAGTAAATAGGATTTTTAAAATCATTTTTGGGGTTCATTAATATTTTGTTGTCGATTAGTATAATATAATTACTTTGATTTATTATATTTTATTTATAATTTTCCTTTTTTCAATGTAAAATTATCCAGATAAAACAAACATTTTGCCTATGCCATCTATTTTTGGAAAATCAGGAGTAGCTTTTTCCAAATATAGAAAGTAGATAGCATAGATAAAATGTATTGTCTATTAGAGGAGTTTTACCTTCCCAAAGAGGAAGACCATCATTAAAATAGTAAATAGGATTTTAAAAATCATTTTTGCAGTTCAGTTATAATTTTGTTGCCGATTAATATAAAAAAAATTGAAATTACTTTGATTTATTATATTTTATTTATAATTTTCTTTATTTTCAATGTAAAATTATACATTTTGTCTATGCCATCTATTTTTGGAAAATCAGGAGTATTTTTTTTCAAATATAAGAAGTAGATAGTATAAGTAAAATGTATAGTATATTAGAGGGGTTTTACCTTCCCAAAGAGAAAGACCATCATTACAATAGTAAATAGGATTTTAAAAATAATTTTTGGCGAAACAATTATCAAATTAAATAAAAACAAACTCGTGAAACTCAAAAAGCAGTGTTTGTTCTTTATCTAGTTATACATTAGATTTATTTACTAACATTGTTATTGGTTACTAAAACGCAGCAAGGAGTACGCAGAAGTCCACCTCCTGCTCATCAAAATTCCCCCTCCCCGCAGGTGATTGCAATTTCTATCTATCTATATTTTGTTTATATAGAATTTTTCGTTTTAGTTGCTGTAAAGCAGTCCAATACAATTTTTTTCTAGCTTGTTCTATCTTTGTTTTTACTAGTACGAAATAAGAATGCCGTTCAAAGAAGTATATTTTTTTACAGGGCGACCAAATAGCGCACTACCCACCGGGACCTTTACGTTCCATCCACGACTTACCTCCGTACATGCAACACATGCCTTACATACAATTCCAACGGCCGAACTACATGTCGAGGTATGTTTTCAGTTTCCTTCGCGCTCGAGCCGTGTAATCATGATTAAGTTGTGTTTTAGAGCGCCATTAGTGCCGGGTAACGTCGAAAAACCCGACGGACAAGAAGGAGAGGAAGCTCCCGTTACATCTCCACCTTTAGAGCTCAGAAGGAGCGCCAACGTCGGTCTGCCTTTGTCTGGCAGAAGCACCACGGTGCCTCACAGCTTGCACTCGCCACACGACAGAGCTACAGGTACCTAATTTTACTTATTTACCATTAAATATACTTATATTTTGTTTATGGTTTTCTTTGTTTTTAAAGTAAAATGATCCGGATGAAGCGTACATTTTGCCTATGCCATCTATTTTTGGAAAATCAGGAGTAGCTTTTTCCAAATATAAGAAGTAGATAGCATAGATAAAATGTATGGTCTATTAGAAGGGTTTTACTTTCCCTAAGAGGAAGACCATCAATAAAATGGTACATATCATTTTTGAAGTTGCTGTACTTATTTTGTTGATGATAAATTTAAAAAAAATTAAAATTACTTTGATATTTTGTATTTTATTTATGATCTTCTTCATTGTTAAGGTAAAATTAACAGGTTGAAGTACAAATTTTATCTATGCTATCTATTTTTGGAAAATCAGGAGTAGCTTTTTCCAAATATAAAAGGTAGATAGCATGGATAAAATGTATGGTCTATGTGAAGGGTTTTACTTTCCCAAAGAGGAAGACCATCAATAAAATGGTACATATCATTTTTGAAGTTGCTGTACTTATTTTGTTGATGATAAATTTGAAAATAATTAAAATTACTTTGATATTTTATATTTTATTTATGATCTTCTTCATTGTTAAGGTAAAATTAACAGGATGATGTACAAATTTTATCTATGCTATCTATTTTTGAAAAATCAGGAGTAGCTTTTTCCAAATATAAGAAGTAGATAGCATAGATAAAATGTACGGTCTATTAGAAGGGTTTTACCTTCCTTAAAAGGAAGACCATCAATAAAATGGTACATATCATTTTTGAAGTTGCTGTACTTATTTTCTTGTTGATAAATTTGAAAAAAATTAAAATTACTTTGATATTTTGTATTTTATTTATGATCTTCTTCATTGTTAAGGTAAAATTAACATGATGAAGTACAAATTTTATCTATGCTATCTATTTTTGAAAAATCAGGAGTAGCTTTTTCCAAATATAGAAAGTAGATAGCATAGATAAAATGTATTGTCTATTAGAGGGGTTTTACCTTCCCAAAGAGGAAGACCATCATTAAAATAGTAAATAGGATTTTAAAAATCATTTTTGGAGTTCAGTTATAATTTTGTTGTCGATTAATATAAAAAAAATTGAAATTACTTTGATTTATTATATTCTATTTATAATTTTCCTTGTTTTCAATGTAAAATTATCCAGATAAAACATTAATTTTGCCGATGCCATCTATTTTTGGAAAATCAGGAGTAGCTTTTTCCAAATATAGAAAGTAGATAGCATAGATAAAATGTATTGTCTATTAGAGGGGTTTTTACCTTCCCAAAGAGGAAGGCCATCATTACAATAGTAAATGGGATTTTAAAAATCATTTTTGGAGTTCAGTATTTATTTTGTTGTCGATAAATTTAAAGAAATTTAAATTACTTTGATATATTATATTTTATTTATATTTTCCTTTTTTTCAATGTAAAATTATACATTTTGTCTATGCCATCTATTTTTGGAAAATCAGGAGTAGCTTTTTCCAAATATAGAAAGTAGATAGCATAGATAAAATGTATTGTCTATTAGAGGGGTTTTACCTTCCCAAAGATGAAGAACATCATTAAAATAGTAAATAGGATTTTAAAAATCATTTTTGAGGTTCAGTTATAATTTTGTTGTCGATTAATATAAAAAAAATTGAAATTACTTTGATTTATTATATTCTATTTATAATTTTCCTTGTTTTCAATATAAAATTATCCAGATAAAACAAACATTTTGCCGATGCCATCTATTTTTGGAAAATCAGGAGTAGCTTTTTCCAAATATAGAAAGTAGATAGCATAGATAAAATGTATTGTCTATTAGAGGGGTTTTACCTTCCCAAAGAGGAAGGCAATCATTAAAATGGTAAATAGGATTTTAAAAATCATTTTTGGAGTTCAGTTATAATTTTGTTGTCGATTAATATAAAAAAAATTGAAATTACTTTGATTTATTATATTTTATTTATAATTTTCCTTGTTTTCAATGTAAAATTATCCAGATAAAACAATAATTTTGCCGATGCCATCTATTTTTGGAAAATCAGAAGTAGCTTTTCCAAATATAGAAAGTAGATAGCATAGATAAAATGTATTGTCTATTAGAGGGGTTTTACCTTCCCAAAGATGAAGAACATCATTAAAATAGTAAATAGGATTTTAAAAATCATTTTTGAGGTTCAGTTATAATTTTGTTGTCGATTAATATAAAAAAAATTGAAATTACTTTGATTTATTATATTCTATTTATAATTTTCCTTGTTTTCAATATAAAATTATCCAGATAAAACAAACATTTTGCCGATGCCATCTATTTTTGGAAAATCAGGAGTAGCTTTTTCCAAATATAGAAAGTAGATAGCATAGATAAAATGTATTGTCTATTAGAGGGGTTTTACCTTCCCAAAGAGGAAGGCAATCATTAAAATGGTAAATAGGATTTTAAAAATCATTTTTGGAGTTCAGTTATAATTTTGTTGTCGATTAATATAAAAAAAATTGAAATTACTTTGATTTATTATATTTTATTTATAATTTTCCTTGTTTTCAATGTAAAATTATCCAGATAAAACAATAATTTTGCCGATGCCATCTATTTTTGGAAAATCAGAAGTAGCTTTTCCAAATATAGAAAGTAGATAGCATAGATAAAATGTATTGTCTATTAGAGGGGTTTTACCTTCCCAAAGAGGAAGGCAATCATTAAAATGGTAAATAGGATTTTAAAAATCATTTTTGGAGTTCAGTTATAATTTTGTTGTCGATTAATATAAAAAAAATTGAAATTACTTTGATTTATTATATTTTATTTATAATTTTCCTTGTTTTCAATGTAAAATTATCCAGATAAAACAATAATTTTGCCTATGCCATCTATTTTTGGAAAATCAGGAGTAGCTTTTTCCAAATATAGAAAGTAGATAGCATAGATAAAATGTATTGTCTATTAGAGGGGTTTTACCTTCCCAAAGAGGAAGGCAATCATTAAAATGGTAAATAGGATTTTAAAAATCATTTTTGGAGTTCAGTTATAATTTTGTTGTCGATTAATATAAAAAAAATTGAAATTACTTTGATTTATTATATTTTATTTATAATTTTCCTTGTTTTCAATGTAAAATTATCCAGATAAAACAATAATTTTGCCTATGCCATCTATTTTTGGAAAATCAGGAGTAGCTTTTTCCAAATATAGAAAGTAGATAGCATAGATAAAATGTATTGTCTATTAGAGGGGTTTTACCTTCCCAAAGAGGAAGGCAATCATTAAAATGGTAAATAGGATTTTAAAAATCATTTTTGGAGTTCAGTTATAATTTTGTTGTCGATTAATATAAAAAAAATTGAAATTACTTTGATTTATTATATTTTATTTATAATTTTCCTTGTTTTCAATGTAAAATTATCCAGATAAAACAATAATTTTGCCTATGCCATCTATTTTTGGAAAATCAGGAGTAGCTTTTTCCAAATATAGAAAGTAGATAGCATAGATAAAATGTATTGTCTATTAGAGGGGTTTTACCTTCCCAAAGAGGAAGGCAATCATTAAAATGGTAAATAGGATTTTAAAAATCATTTTTGGAGTTCAGTTATAATTTTGTTGTCGATTAATATAAAAAAAATTGAAATTACTTTGATTTATTATATTTTATTTATAATTTTCCTTGTTTTCAATGTAAAATTATCCAGATAAAACAATAATTTTGCCTATGCCATCTATTTTTGGAAAATCAGGAGTAGCTTTTTCCAAATATAGAAAGTAGATGGCATAGATAAAATGTATGGTCTATTAGAGAGGTTTTACCTTCCCAAAGAGGAAGACCATTATTAAGATAGTAAATATGATTTTTAAAATCACTTTTAGATTCTCCTCAAGTGGGTCAAGTGTACAACATGCACACAGCCAGGATGCAGCACTATCCGCCGGGCCGTTACTTCGAGCAGGCCGCAGAACCGCCGCCGGCTCACCGACAACTAACCAGCCACACCTTGGCGGCCCTGGATCGGCCGCTGAGCAGCCACTTGGTGCCCGACAGGCCCCTCAGCAGTCACATGGTGCCGGACAGACCGATCAGCGCGCACATGGTGCCGGACAGGCCGCTCAGCAGCCACATACCGCCCGACAGAGGCCCGATCAGCGGCCACCTGCCGGAACGGACGACTTTCGCCGACACCCACTTGATGGGCGCCGGGCTGGGCGCCGCCGGCAACTTGATGGGCGCAGTCGCGAGACACCACGGCGCCGACACGCCGACTAGTCAGCGGGGTCTGCAAGCGGCAACACCGCCGCACGCCAGCCAAGTGCCACCTCAGGCAGAGAGCCTGTTCATGCTGCTAAAGGTGAGTCGATATTTTTTGAAGTTACTCTACCTATTTTGCTGTTGATAAATTTTTAAAAAAATAAAATAACTTTGATATTTTATATTTTATTTATGATCTTCTTCATTGTTAAGGTAAAATTAACAGGATGAAGTACAAATTTTATCTATGCTAACTATTTTTGAAAAATCAGGAGTAGCTTTTTACAAATATTAGAAGTAGATAGCATAGATAAAATGTATCGTCTATTAGAAGGGTTTTACCTTCCCAAAGAGGAAGACCATCAATAAAATGGTACAAATCATTTTTAAAGTTGCTGTACTTATTTTGTTGATGATAAATTTAAAAAAATTAAAATTACTTTGATATTTTATATTTTATTTATGATCTTCTTCGTTGTTAAGGTAAAACTAACAGGATGAAGTACAAATTTTATCTATGCTATCTATTTTTGAAAAATCCGGAGTAGCTTTTTCCAAATATAAAAAGTAGATAGCATAGATAAAATGTATTGTCTATTAGAAGGGTTTCACCTTCCCAATGAGGAAGACCGCCAATAAAATAGTATTAAAAATCATTTTTTGATGTGTGGTTGTAATTTGACGTTTTTCCAGCAATATCCTTGCATGTGGCAAGGCCTTCTGGCGCTGAAGAACGACCAGGCAGCCGTTCAGATGTACTTCGTTTCTGGAAACGCCACAGTGGCCAAAGACTGCCTGCCAGAAAATACCGACGGAACGACACCTCCGCTAAGAATATTCCAAAGGATGCGACTGGAGCCGCCGCAAGTCGAAGGGGTGTCCAGAAAAATGCAGGTACGTACAAAAACCGACGTTTTGAGGATGTTATTCTAGTAATTTTCGCTTGTTTCAGATGACGAACGAGCACTGCATGTTGCTCGCGTTGCCCTGTGGTCACGACCACATGGACGTACTGAAACAATCCACAAATTTGACAACAGGATTCATCAAATACTTGCAGGCCAAACAGGCGGCAGGGATAGTTAATGTGGCCGCTCCTGGTACTACCCAACCGGTAAGTGACATCATTTTATTAGGATTTTTAGGATGAAGCATACATTTTGCCTATGCCATCTATTTTTGGAATATCAGGAGTAGCTTTTTCCAAATATAAGAAGTAGATAGCATAGATAAAATGTATGGTCTATTGGAAGGGATTTACCTTCCTAAAGAGGAAGACCATCATTAAAATAGTAAATAGGATTTTAAAAATTATTTTTGGAGTTCAGGACTTATTTTGTTATCGATAAATTTGAAGAAATTTAAACTAATTTGATTTATTATATTTTGTTTATGATTTTCTTTGCTTTCAATGTAAAATTATCCAGATGAAGCATACATTTTGCCTATGCTATCTATTTTTTGGAAAATCAGGAGTAGCTTTGGTCTATTAGAGGGGTTTTACCTTTCCAAAGAGGAAGACCATCAATAAAACTTTCGCAATTGGTTCAAATCTGTTTGATGTTTAATGTTTGGTGCTTAATGTTCTTTCTGAACTTTTTGTAGCCTTTGTAGGGTTCTTCTTTTTTTGAAATAGAATTTTAGATTGTATCAAATATTCTCTTGCAAGGAAGCAACTAAGGTGTGCATATTTTTTGCAGCCCGCCTACGTGGTCCACATTTTCCCGTCGTGCGAGTTCGTGAACGAGAACCTTCGGCGAATAGCCCCGAACTTGCTCGAACGGGTGGCCGATATCGCCCACCTGTTGATCGTCGTGACGACTGTTTGATAGCACGAGCGTCGGGACGCGATGGTTTTCGATTGATGATTAAAAATAACAAAAAAGGCGACCTGATTCGGCCTTTGAACACCACCACCACCACACTACCGCAAAAAGAAAAGCAAAAACGACTACTACCTACTACTCGAATCGTGACACTACTACTGCAACTAAATTTTACTTACTACTTAAACAAATTGATGAAATATTATCTAAATATTTAAAAGTTTCACTGTGATTTCTGAAAAAAGCGTTATAACTATTATTAAATTTAAAAGTATATTAATGAAAGAAAATGATAAAAATAACTTACTACCTATTAAGAGATCTCATACAAGTTAGTTATGTACATTTTTTATTTAGAAGATTTTTATTTTTCGTAAATATCTTGTAAATCCCCGCCGCTGTCTTCCACCATCGCTGCGATATTCGCAGGGATGGTGCAAGAAACGACGCAGGGTATGATTAAAAAAAATTAAGGAGCGGTTTTGTTTAGGACGTCAAGTTTAGATCGCCGGCTAGTTGTATCTTTATTTTTATATTTAATTACATTGTTGTTAATTTATTTATTTTCCACCGATGTTGCGCGCATATCTCGGCGCTTCCCGCCCGCCCGTTTTAGTTTTACGGTCAAAGAGTTTTAGTTTTTGTTAACATTATTTTTTAGTTTATTCGTTGGGAGTGGGCGGGGAGCGCGGGGACGTCGGCGCAGGGGCGCAGCAGAGATTTAGACTTGAGGTTCGTTTGGTCGCTTGGCAACGTGGCGCGATGTATTTTAGCATCGCGCCACGTTGCCGGCCCTTCGAACAAAACGTTACCCATCTGTAGTTTGAAATATGGCTATTATACATGATAAAGCATATAGACATAATATATAAATATGTAGCATATATAATTATATGAAATCAATCATTTTTTAAATTACAATGTAATATATATGTGAATATATAGTTTTTAGTTTGTTACTTTAAGCTTTTTTGAGTTATAATATTAAGATGTTCTGTACAGTGTACTTTTAGTTTGTAAGTATAAAAATAGCCAGCGTTACAAAAAAATAATAACATAGGGAACATTGTGATGTCTATACTACTGTAAATTTTGTACATATATAAAATACTGTGTATTGTGAGTATACATTATTATAACTATTACGATAAATTACACTCTCTTTTATTTAAACACCCTCATTTATAAAAAAAATACGGTAAGTAAATTTACTTTATTAGAATTTTCCAGATTCTGCGTAATTTTGTAGATCTGGCAACGTTGCACAATGGCGATTTTACCAATTTACAATCGTTTCAAAATGGCGGACGTTATACATTTAATTTTAAAAAATAAAAAATCCGACATTTTGCGACGTTGCCAAATTTACAACGTACAAAACGGAATCTGGCAACGTCGCAAAATGGCGGATTTTTTAAAATTAAATGTTTAACTTCCGCCATTTTGAAACGTTGCCAGATTTTCGTTTTGTACGTTGTAAATTTGGCAACGTCGCAAAATGGCGGATTTTTAACAATTAAATTTATAACGTCCGCCATTTTGCGACGTTGCCAAATGGTCAGAGTGTAAAACGGAAATCTGGCAACGTTGCAAAATGGCGGATTTTTTAAAATTAAATTTATAACGTCCGCCATTTTGCGACGTTGCCAAATGGTCAGAGTGTAAAACGGAAATCTGGCAACGTTGCAAAATGGCGGATTTTTAACAATTGAATTTCTAACGTCCGCCATTTTGCGACGTTGCCAAATGGTCAGAGTGTAAAACGGAAATCTGGCAACGTTGCAAAATGGCGGACGTTAGAAATTCAATTGTTAAAAATCCGCCATTTTGAAACGTTGCCAGATTTCCGTTTTACACTCTGACCATTTGGCAACGTCGCAAAATGGCGGACGTTATAAATTTAATTTTAAAAAATCCGCCATTTTGCGACGTTGCCAAATTTCCAGAGTACAAAAAGTAAATATGACAACGTTCCAAAATGGCGGACGTTAAAAAATGTATTGTTAAAAATCCGCCATTTTGCGACGTTGCCAAATTTACAACGTACAAAACGAAAATCTGGCAACGTTTCAAAATGGCGGACGTTATACATTTAATTGTTAAAAATCCGCCATTTTGCGACGTTGCCAGATTTCCGTTTTGTACGTTGTAAATTTGGCAACGTCGCAAAATGGCCGATTTTAACAATTGAATTTACAACGATCGCCATTTTGAAACGTTGCCAGATTTCCGTTTTGTACGTTATAAATTTGGCAACGTCGCAAAATGGCGTATTTTTAACAATACATTTTTTAACGTCCGCCATTTTGGAACGTTGTCATATTTACTTTTTGTACTCTGGAAATTTGGCAACGTCGCAAAATGGCCGAATTTAAACAATTAAATTTATTACGTCCGCCATTTTGAAACGCTGCCAGATTTCCGTTTTGTACTCTGTAAATTTGGCAACGTCGCAAAATGGCGGGTTTTTAACTATTAAATTTATAACGTCCGCCATTTTGAAACGTTGCCAGATTTCCGTTTTGTACTCTGTAAATTTGGCAACGTCGCAAAATGGCGGGTTTTTAACTATTAAATTTATAACGTCCGCCATTTTGAAACGTTGCCAAATTTACTTTAAATCTCTACTTACCGTTTTTAGCTACGTTGTCAGTTTGGCAACGTCGCATTTGCACAGTGGGCACAAAGGAAAAGGGAGGGAGGAATAAAAATCGTTTTTAGATTTACAGTAAAGTTTATTAGTTCCTGTTGCAGCAAAATGTGTCATCGACGAAATTAAGGTACATAAAGATAGTAAATAGTTGTAGGCATAACTTGTACAAAAAAACACTTATTCGATATTAGGTACTAAATAAAAAAGCTTTTTCCAGAGTAAAGAATATATGAATGTGTTATAATAATTACTTTATACACTTGCATCTTTACAGAGTCCTTTTTTATCCTCAAATATTTCCAATTATCACCCTTCGTTCATTTATCTACCTAATTTACATTCATCTAGAAGGCCATTAAGTTACTTTTGAAATGAAAGTTAATCCTATATACAAACTTAATAATACATACTCGATACTAAAACAACTTTAGTAACATATTGCAGATAATAGAAATAAAGTCTCTAATTACAAAAAAACTTAATAACTAATAAATACTTTGTTATATACACTTAGTAATATAATTTTTTCTGAAAACGTATATTTGGGGAATGTAGGCTTTGGTATAATCAGTTGGTAAACTTTGTTCATATACTGTTGACAGTATTAATTATTAATAATAAATATTTAAAACTAAAAGTTGTAAGAAGGAGACAAAACTTACTATTATTATATCACAAACAAACAGATTTAGAAGGTAGAGAGTGTGATGTGAGAAGTTCATCTAATCTCCTTACAGGTGCACCTTAGTTATGTAGGTAATCTAATTGACGTGTAATAATGAATGCAGATAACCCCGTAACAAATCATTTTAAATATTAAAACAACCAATTACGAAATCAAAGACGAAAATCGACTTACGAGAGAAAAACGACGTCTTAGATCGGAGATCTGTCGCCGTTCGGACTGTAATCTTTCAACACGTCCCTCAGTCGATTCACTTCTTTCGTCAGATTCGCCAACTCGCCCTGCAGGATCAGTTCCTTCTCTCTAAGCCTCTTTATGTCCCTCTGACACGTCTGAAAGGACGAAACAAAATTAATCGAAGGTCCCACTTGTGTCTCGAATTTTGCTGCATTACTTTCTATAGAACATGCTCCGTATAGAAAGCAATAAAACAATCAGAGCACATAGTACTTAATCATCAAAAAATCCTCATAATACTATTTTAATTGTATAAAATAAATAGTAGTTAATCATTATAAAAGTACTAAAAAACAATAAAATAGTATTAAATCATCAAACATTCTGTAAATCGTTGAAGTAGTACTAAATCATTAAAAATCGTTAGTAGTAGTACTTAAATTATTTAAGAGTTGGATAAAATCGAAAAAAAATACAATTTCCATTAAAAAATACTTAATTTATTTTTAAACTTACATCAAAATATTTAAAACTTATGATAGTACTTAAAGAGTTGCTTAAAATCCATAAAGTAGTTCTCAATTTAAAAAAAATACTTAAGTTGATTTCAAAGTTATAATAGTTATGATAGTACTTAAATCATTTAAGTAATAAAATGGTGCTTAATTTTGAGGAAAAAAATACTTAAACTATTTTAAAAGTACTTAAAACCAATAAAATAGTTTCTTAAAATCGATAAAATAGAACTTAAAATCAATAAAAAATTTAAAATAACACTTAAATCATCATCAAAAAGTGTTATAAAAGTACTTGAATTGTTTAATAGTTGCCTAAATATTTTTAACGTTAAATCGTTAAAGTAGTACTTAATCATTAAAATAAGTTATGATAATACTTAAATTGTTTAAAAGTTTCTTAATTTTTTATAAATAGTAAATTGTTAAAGTAGTAGTAGTAGTAGTCAAAAATCGTTTTAATTATTTGGAATTTGCTTAAAATCGTTAAAATAGTACTCAAAATCAATAAAATAATACATAAAATGATTAAAATAGTACTTAATCCTTAAAAATCGTTAATCGTTAATCTATAAAATAGTGCTCAATTTAAAAAAAACAATACTTAAATTGTATCTTTAAAAGTACCTGAAACCGATAAAATGTTTGCATAAAATCGATAAAATAGAACTTAAAATGTTTAAAATAGCACTTTATCATCAAAAATCGTTATAAAAGTACGTACATTGTAGTGCCTAAAGATTTTAAACGTTAAATCGTTAAAACGTTAAAGTGATACTAAATCATTAAAAATAGTTATGATAGTACTTAAATCGTTAAAAGTTACCTAAAATAGTACTTAAAACCAATAAAATAGTACTACTCATCGAAAATCGTTATAATAATAGGTGGTATGATATAAACATTAACAACTGTCAAGATGTAAATGATACTTAAATTAAATTTCAGTTACTAAAAATCGTTAAACAATACGTTAACCGTTAAAAAAGTAACTTTTAATTAATAAACAAATTATTTATAATATATTACTTATAAGTCTATTAACATTGCTAGTACTTTAATTTTTCAAAATTAAATTAATTGCTTAAATAGTACTTAAAATGATTTAAATTATACTTAATTATCAAAAATCGTTATCGTGTAAAAGTACATTAAATCAGCTCATATTGATAAGCTGCTTAAAATCGTTAAAATAGTACTCAAAATCAATAAAATAATACTTAAAATGATTAAAATAGTATTTAATTAATAAATTTGTTTATAAAAGTACTTTTAATTATTTATAAGTTTTAAAATTGTTAAAATAGTCAAAATAGTACTTAAAATATTCAAAATCGTCAAAATAGTACTTAAGTTTTTTTAAATTGTTAATATGGTTTCTAAACCATTTAAAATTGTTAAAATTGTAATAATTAACAATTTATAATCGTATAAATAGTACCATAACTGAAATAGTTAAATTGGTACTTAAACCATTTAAAATAACCAAAATTGTTAAAATTGTGTTAAAACTATTCAAAATGGTACTTAAATCTTTTAAAATTGTTAATATAATACAAAAACTATTTTAAATTGTTAAAATTGTACTTAAACCGTTTAAATTTATTAATATAGTACTTAAACCATTTAAAATCGTTAAAATAGTACCTAAATCTTTTAAAATTGTTAATTAAGTACAAAAACCATTTAAAATTTTCCATAACCATATAAAATTGTAAAATTGTTATTGAACCATTTAAAATTGATAAAATGGTAATAATTAACAATTTAAAATCGTAGGTAATAATAGTACTTAAACAATTCAAAAATGTTAAAATTATACGTAACCATTCTTAACATACTTAAATTTCTGTATAAAGTAAAGTAGCAAATTTTGTTGTTTTTTAATAAATTCGCTAGTGAAGCAATGTTTAATATTTTTGCTATATTTAGTTTGTTTTATGTTTATATTCGTGGAAGTTTATGTTCGCCTTTTATATTTCAAAGACTATTTCATTTATATTGCGTTGAAAGTAACGAAAAGTCTTTTAAAAACTTTTCATAAAGTTATACTTGCAACGAAGTATAAGCGTATAAGTACCTACTCGTTTAAAAAATTTAATCATCCTGTTTTGTATATTTTGTTTTACAAAACGTGATAGTTTTTTCCCAAAGTGTCTTGTCGACATTATTAAAAAAAATTGTATGACCTGAGCAGGTCTAACTTATTGTAAAAACCATTTTAAATTGTTAAAATTGTACTTAAACCGTTTAAATTTGTTAATATAGTACTTAAACCATTTAAAATCGTTAAAATAGTACTTAAACCATAATATAATTGTTAAAATTGTTAATTAAGTACAAAAACCATTTAAAATTTACAAAATTGTACTTAAACCATTTAAAATCGTCAAAACAGTACTTAAATCATTATAAAATTGTAAAATTGTGATTGAACCATTTAAAAATGTTAAAATTATACTTATTTTATTTTACAAAACGTGATAATTTCTTCACAAAGTGTCTTGAGACATTATTAAAAAAATTGTGTGAACTTACCACGTTTTGCCTGAGCAGGTCCAACTTATTGTAAAAACTATTTTAAATTGTTAAAATTGTACTTAAACCGTTTAAATTTGTTAGTATAGTACTTAAACCATAATATAATTGTTAAAATTGTTAATTAAGTACAAAAACCATTTCAAATGTACAAAATTGTACTTAAACCATTTAAAATCGTCAAAACAGTACTTAAACCATTATAAAATTGTAAAATTGTGATTGAACCATTTAAAAATGTTAAAATTATACTTATTTTATTTTACAAAACGTGATAATTTTTTCGCAAAGTGTCTTGTTGAGATTATTAAAAAAATTGTGTGAACTTACCACGTTTTGCCTGAGCAGGTCCAACTTATTGTAAAAACTATTTTAAATTGTTAAAATTGTACTTAAACCGTTTAAATTTGTTAGTATAGTACTTAAACCATTTAAAATCGTTAAAATAGTACTTAAACCATAATATAATTGTTAAAATTGTTAATTAAGTACAAAAACCATTTAAAATGTACAAAATTGTACTTAAACCATTTAAAATCGTCAAAACAGTACTTAAACCATTATAAAATTGTAAAATTGTGATTGAACCATTTAAAAATGTTAAAATTATACTTATTTTATTTTACAAAACGTGATAATTTTTTCGCAAAGTGTCTTGTTGAGATTATTAAAAAAATTGTGTGAACTTACCACGTTTTGCCTGAGCAGGTCCAACTTATTGTAAAAACTATTTTAAATTGTTAAAATTGTACTTAAACCGTTTAAATTTGTTAGTATAGTACTTAAACCATTTAAAATCGTTAAAATAGTACTTAAACCATAATATAATTGTTAAAATTGTTAATTAAGTACAAAAACCATTTAAAATGTACAAAATTGTACTTAAACCATTTAAAATCGTCAAAACAGTACTTAAACCATTATAAAATTGTAAAATTGTGATTGAACCATTTAAAAATGTTAAAATTATACTTATTTTATTTTACAAAACGTGATAATTTTTTCGCAAAGTGTCTTGTTGAGATTATTAAAAAAATTGTGTGAACTTACCACGTTTTGCCTGAGCAGGTCCAACTTATTGTAAAAACTATTTTAAATTGTTAAAATTGTACTTAAACCGTTTAAATTTGTTAGTATAGTACTTAAACCATTTAAAATCGTTAAAATAGTACTTAAACCATAATATAATTGTTAAAATTGTTAATTAAGTACAAAAACCATTTAAAATGTACAAAATTGTACTTAAACCATTTAAAATCGTCAAAACAGTACTTAAACCATTATAAAATTGTAAAATTGTGATTGAACCATTTAAAAATGTTAAAATTATACTTATTTTATTTTACAAAACGTGATAATTTTTTCGCAAAGTGTCTTGTTGAGATTATTAAAAAAATTGTGTGAACTTACCACGTTTTGCCTGAGCAGGTCCAACTTATTGTAAAAACCATTTTAAATTGTTAAAATTGTACTTAAACCGTTTAAATTTGTTAGTATAGTACTTAAACCATTTAAAATCGTTAAAATAGTACTTAAACCATAATATAATTGTTAAAATTGTAAGTACCTAAATCTTTTAAAATTGTTAATTAAGTACAAAAACCATTTAAAATTTACAAAATTGTACTTAAACCATTTAAAATCGTTAAAAACAGTACTTAAACCATTAAAAAATTAAAAAATTGTGATTGAACCATTTAAAAATGTTAAGTTAAGTGTCTTGTCGACATTATTAAAAAAAAATGTGTGAACTTACCACGTTCTGCCTGAGCAGGTCCAACTTGTCGCACTTGAGGCGCGTGACCTCTTGCACGAGCGCCTCGGCTGTCTGCTCCTGGGCGCTGGCGGGCCGATCCTGGCACACGCTGCACGCCTTGGCCGTGGTCTCGGCGCTGGACATGCTCTCTAAGCCGGTGTCGCTGTCGACGTAGCCTCCGGCGAGGTGCTCCAGGTCCTCGGAGGTCAGGGAGGAGTCGTCGCTGACCTCCGAGAGGGCGGGGCGCGGCGCGCCGCGCTGCGTGAGGTCGGGCGACGAGGCGGTCGAGGAGCTGTTGCTGCCCGCCTTCTTGCCGTTCGAGGCTATCGACAGCTTCGATGCGGATCTGCCGCTCTAATACAACGAAAAAATCCTTTTACCAAATGCGTAATCAAATATTTAATCATTTATTTGAATTTCTTAAAAAATTAGAAAAAGAAATATCAAAACAAAAAAATTAAAAGAAAAGTAAAAAAGTGAAGAAAAAAAACTTAATTTTTTATAAATAGTACTTAAATTATCAAAGTAGTAGAAATAGTCAAAAATTGTTTTAATTATTTAAAATTGCTTAAAACTGTTAAAATAGTACTCAAAATCAAAAAAATATTACTTAAAATGATTAAAATAGTACTTAATCGTCAAAAATCGTTTAAAATAGTACTCAATCATCAAAAATCGTTTTAATATTACTTAGATTGGTTAAAAGTTGCTTAATTTCTTAAAAAATTAGAAAAAGAAATATCAAAACAAAAAAATTAAAAGAAAAGTAAAAAAGTGAAAAGAAAAAACTTAATTTTTTATAAATAGTACCTACTTAAATTATCAAAGTAGTAGAAATAGTCAAAAATTGTTTTAATTATTTAAAATTGCTTAAAACTGTTAAAATAGTACCTACTCAAAATCAAAAAAATATTACTTAAAATGATTAAAATAGTACTTAATCGTCAAAAATCGTTAAAATAGTACTCAATCATCAAAAATCGTTTTAATATTACTTAGATTGGTTAAAAGTTGCTTAATTTCTTAAAAAATTAGAAAAAGAAATATCAAAACAAAAAAATTAAAAGAAAAGTAAAAAAGTGAAAAGAAAAAACTTAATTTTTTATAAATAGTACTTAAATTATCAAAGTAGTAGAAATAGTCAAAAATTGTTTTAATTATTTAAAATTGCTTAAAACTGTTAAAATAGTACTCAAAATCAAAAAAATATTACTTAAAATGATTAAAATAGTACTTAATCGTCAAAAATCGTTAAAATAGTACTCAATCATCAAAAATCGTTTTAATATTACTTAGATTGTTTAAAAGTTGTTTAAAATTGTTAAAATAGTAGGTATTCAAAACAATAAAATATTACTTAAAATGATTAAAATAGTACTTAATCGTCAAAAATCGTTAAAATAGTACTCAATCATCATAAATAGCTTTAATATTGCTTAATTTGTTTAAAAGTTGCTTAAAATCGTTAAAATAGTACTCAAAATCAATAAAATATTACTTATAATAATTAAAATACTACTTAATCATTACAAATAATTAAAATAGTACTTAATCATTAAAAATCGTTTTATTATTACTTAGATTGTTTAAAAGTTGCTTAAAATCGTTAATATAGTACTCAAAATTAATAAAATAATATTTAAAATGATTAAAGTCGTAAAAAATCGTTATAATATTCCTTAAATTGTTTAAAAATTGCTTAAAATCGTTAAAATAATACTCAATCATCAAAAAACGTTTTAATATTACTTAAATTGTTTAAAAGTTGCTTAAAATCGTTGTCAAAATCAGTAAAATATTGTTTAAAATGATTAAAATAGTACTTAATCGTACTCTTAAATTGTTTAAAAGTTTCTTAAAATCGTTAATATAGTACTCAAAATCAATAAAATAATACTTAAAATTGTCAAAAATCATTATAATATTACTTAAATTGTTTATAAGTAGCTTTGTTTTTTTAATAGTACTTAAATTGTAAAAGTAGTACTTAATCATCAAAAATAATTTAAATAGTACGTAATTTGTTAAGAAGTTGCTTAAAATCGTTAAAATAGGACTTTGATTAAGTTACTAAAAACAGTAGGAACTTTAACCATTAAAAAGTACCTTTCATTACTTGAACAATTTAACATTGTAAAAATAATGAAATAATGAAATAGTTTACTACTTAAATAAACCTTTTCAATGCTCATTAAAAATTGTTAAAATAGTACTTATACAATTTAAAATCTAAAAATAGTACTTAAACCATAACCAAAATAATAACTAAAACGTTTTAAATATTCATTACAATTGTCAAAATAGTACTTAAACAATTCAAAAATGTTAAAATTAATCATTAAAATAGTACTTAGATCTTTCAAAATTGTTGATATATTATTTGAACCATTTAAAATCGTAACAATAGTACCTACTCACGCAATTCAAAAATGTTAAAATTGTACTTAAATAATTCAAAATCAACAAAATAGTACTTAAATCTTTCAAAATTGTTGATATGGTATTTGAACCATTTAAAATCGTCAAAATAGTACTTAAACAATTTAAAAATGTTAAAATTGTACTTAAACCATTCAAAATCGTTAAAATAGTACTTAAATCATTTTAAAATTGTTAAAACTGTGCTTAAACCATTTAAAATTGTTAAAATAGTACTTATCAACAATTTAAAATCGTAAAAATAGTACTTATCAACAATTTAAAATCGTAAAAATAGCACTTATCAACAATTTAAAATCGTAAAAAAAAGTACTTAAACAAATCAAAAATGTTAAAATTGTACTTAAATCTTTAAAAATCGTCAAAATAGAACTGAATAAACCATTCAAAATTGTTAAAATAGTATTTAGACCATTTAAAATGGTTGGAATAGTACATTAACCATTTTAAGATTGTAATTTAACCAAATAAAATTGTTAATATAGTACTCAAACGCTTTAAAATCGTCAAAATAGTACTTATAAATGTGGTAAAAAAAAACTTACCGTAGGTGTAGTCTCGCTGATGGTGGGCTGACTGGGCTTCTTGGTGAGCCTGTCGTGCCCGTTGACGTTAAGGTTGTTCTCGACGCTGGGACTGGGCTTGACCCTGGACACCCAGACCTTCTTCACGGTGTCGATGAACCGCGATCCGGGCCCGGAGTCGCTCTTCGGCGTTCCGGGCACGATCGAGGCGCTGCCGCCCAGAAACTCGTTGGTCTTGTCGCGCAGGTCGTCGGTGAGCGTCTGCAGGAGGCTGGTGCGCGTCCGCAGCTCCAGCTTGGCGAACTTCTCGGCCTTGTAGCACGCGTTCTCCGCGTTGATGAGCTTCGTGAGCAGGAATTCCTTGAACTCCGGGCCGTGGGTGAAGATGGCCGGGCTGGGCAGGGTGGGCCCGAAGAATGGGACGTCGGCGCGGGCCGTCACGCTCACTTTGTATCTGCAACGAGGGGAATCCCTTGTAGCGAAAGTCTTGCACCGTTTCAACACGAAATTAAAAAATCCAATTCATCGAACTTAAGGATTTCAAACTTCTTTAGGTTTGCAAGTTTCGCGAAAAGTTTGCTGGTACGCCTTGAAAATTTAATCCCTTTAAAAAGCCTGGCCGAAGTATGAGGTCAAATTTACGAGACGGAAATGTTTTGCTTTCATTGAAATTTCCCTTTGACCTCGCACAGTTGCAAGAGAACTTTAGAGTTTTGGATGATATAAAAATTAAAGCAAATGCATTCTTAAAAACATAAATTTTACTAAAAAAAGTACTCAAATAAAAAAATACTACTTTACAAAAAATTCTAAAAAATGTAGGTACTTAAATTATTGTCAAGATATTAAATATCTTAACAATAATTTAAGTAGATTTTTAAAATCGTGCCATCATACAAAATTTATTAAAAATCTAGGTATTAGTACTTTTTTACTAAAAAATCGTTAAAAAAATCATAAATAGTACTTAAACTACCGCCAAATTATTAAATATTTTAACGATAATTAAAGTACATTTTTAAAATCGTGATCATACTAAATTATAAAAAGTACTATTTTAGTAAACATTGTTAAAAATGTTTTTAAATAATCGTTAAGATATATAAAATCTAGTTAAAAGTACTTTTTTCTAAAAAAATTGTTAAATAGTAAGTACAAAAAGTACCATTTTAGTAAACATTGTTAAAAAAATTTTTAATCGTAAACATATTTAAATAAATTTTAAATTTTAAAAAATCTAGTTTGTACAAAAAAAATAGTTAAATAAAATCATTAAATAGTACAAAAACTACTATTTTAGTAAACATTGTTAAAAATGTTATAAATCGTGAGTTAAAATCGATACATCATACTAAATTTTAAAAAAATCTAGTTAAAAGTACTTTTTTTTAAGATATTTAAAAATCGTTAAAAAATCATTAATAGTACAAAAATAGTTATAAAAATATTAATACAAATTCTTTAAATTCAGTGGCGTATTTAGGGGGGGGGTCCGCCGGGTCCGGACCCCCCCCCGGGCGCACATATTTTATTATTTTTATTACAAAAAAAAGTAAAAAAAAAATAAAAACCTCAAGACTGTCAACGTACTTTATTATTTATTAATTATATTTGAATATAAAATCATTAAAATCAAAAATCAACTACTTACGTATTAAAGAGAAAGAGGTACCGATTTTGAAGAACTTTGTGAAACCTACCAAGAGGACCTCACTTTGTGCAAAAACGATATATTATCAGAATATAAGTTATGGTGTCAAAATATATTCGGTTTGAAAGAAAAGCCACAAAATGCATTGGATGCTTTAAAACTATGCAACACAGAGTTTTATCCCAACATCTTCCGTTTGCTTCAAATTTTAGCCACTCTACCGGTATCGACAACAACACCAGAAAAAACATTTTCCAGTTTTAAAGCGAATAAAAACGTATCTAAGGAATTCTATGTCTGAGGTAAAATCTTATTTTTATATAATAAATTACTACCCAATTAATTGCATTTTGGTCCTATTTACTAACTCTATCTTTTAAGGGTCGACTTAATGGTTTGGCAGTTCTATCCATTGATAATATATTATATCCATTGATAATATATTATAATATAGAAATTAGTCCCGAAGAAGTTCTGGATAAAATGGCGAAGAATCCACGGCGATTGGAATTTTTAATTTAATCAAAACAAAAATTTTCCTTTTTTAGAAAGTTCCTTTTATTTTCTATTTTATCGGAACAGAAGAGTTCCTAATTTGTGATTTTTTAGTTATTAAAGCATAGCATAGTACATATTTAGTTAGTTTTTTTGGACCCCCCCCCGGAGCTAAATCCTAAATACGCCACTGTTTAAATTAATCATCTAAACGTACTTTTTTTACTTAAAAATCATTCATTACTACAAAATAGTACTAAACTACGTAAATTTTATTTAAAATTGTTAAAAATGTACTTAAAAAATCGTTTAGATATTTAAAATCGTGAATTTGTAAAAAATCTTGTTTTTTTACTGAAAATTTTATGAAATTATTAAAAAGAACAAAAAGTTTTATAGCATAGACATTTTAATAAAAATGTACTAAATTTGTAAAAAATCCAGTTAAAAGTACTTTTTTTAAAAATATTTAAAAATCGTTAAAAAATCATTATAGTTACCAAATTTGTTGAATATATATATTTATAAGTACTTTTTTTAATAAAAATCATTAATTAGTAGAAAAATGTAGCAAACTACGTAAATTTTAGTTAAAATTGTTAAAAATGTACTTAAAAATTCGTTGGAACGGAATTTGTAAAAAATCTAGTTAAAAGTTTTTTTTTTACTAAAAATCATTGAATAAAAATCTTTTTTAAATATTTAAATAAAAATCTTTAAATAACTGTTAAAAATGTACTTGAATTGGATCATAAAAAATTTGTAAAAAAATCTAGTTAAAAGTACTTTTTTTACTAAAACATTACTAAAGTTTTGAAAATTTCAAAAAAAATTTGTAAATTTTGGATAATTTTAAAAAATTTTCGAAAGTTTTAAAATTAAGAAAAATCGAAAATTAAAAAAAAAATCAAAATAAAATTTTTCAAAATTAAAAAATTGTAAAATTCTGAAAATTTTGAAAATTCCAATCAAAATCAAACTAAATTTGTCGAAAATCTAGTTAAAAGTTTAATGAAAATCATTAAATAGTACAAAAAGTACCATTTTAGTACACATTGTTAAAAATGTACTTAAAAAAAAAATTGAAATTTAAAAAAAAAATGTAAAATTACAAAGAATTTAAAAAAATTGGACAATTTTGAAAATGGTTGCCACAGTGCGCCCTAGCATGCAACCCCTTTATATCCGACTGGTACGGGCCGTCGAATTTTGACTTAAATATGATATTACATATGTATATCCGCGGTAATATATTCTTTTGGCTTCCGCCGCGGCATTTTTTCGTCCGAGAAACAAAACGAAAAGCTACGAAATTGCTTTTTCCTCTTTCGCCGAATTTTAAAACGCAGACTTACCGTCGTCTCGGCGCGATTATTTCCGCCGAAGGCGCTAATTCTTCCACGCACACAACTGACATTTAGAAACCCGTTTCCGTCCTCTATTATTATTAAGATTTTTATGTAATTACGTTAAATTTATTACCGCTTCCTGAATGCACTCCATGATAAAAATAACTATAAATCTATGTTTAGATGAGAAATATTTCTTGTGAAATAAAAAGAATAAATCGGTTCGAATGTATTTTTAAAAGTAGTGACAAGTCGTGTGGGTGTCATGTATTTGTATTTAGTTTTTAGATACGCACTCTGATATGTG